GTCTCCATAATTTCATCAGCCAGTGCAATGATCTGGTTAAAAACGAGATTCGTATCTAGCAATCACCATACAATTGCTTTGAATCGAAAGGGCGTTGCTAACAATTGGACAACCATTTAAAGATAGCATTTAGGCGAATTAAAGACCATTTCTGTGGCCGATTCCTTGTGGTCAGTAAATACCTGTGGCTGGTTCCCACGCCACGATAATATCTAAAGTGCCGATTGCATCCAGGTATACAGTGGTCAAGTGATGACCACACCCTAAGGACAGGATTACCGCCCACATATGCAAATCAACCAGTTTAATAAGAAATGAACAACAAAATGAAATAGCAATTCGCCCCTTTTTACGTGATGTATAACTTATGCAATGTGATTTGTTACGGTATTGCTTTATGGTTAGATGAAATCGATAACGCATAGAAGAATGCCAGGCATACTCAAAAACTGAACTCTACTCAGGGTTTGGGAGATATTTACGGAGGGACACGTACGAGCCCCCTAAAATAAGTCAGAAATAATATAATCATATCACGGAACGTGTTTTAGGTTAGCATTTTGTTTGCCACCAATCCATTTGTTGGAAGTTACTTGTGGTGGAACATATTTTCATTAAAATTTAAAACAACCGCAATATGAACGCAAGAGGGGCTTATAATCTGAATGAAAAAATAGTACTTATTCGAAAAATTGGATATAAAATGGGAAAATTTACTGTCTCATTCTTTCACATATCTTTGATTTATAAACCTTCATTTTTCATTTAGTAAAAAGAAAAAGGAAAAAAACACCTTTTCATTCCTTAACGTTTTGCTATAGAGAAAACAAAACTTCTATCAAATTATTTTATCTCTGTTTGCCAAATAACACGTATAAATTGATATTCATTTAAATGACGTGTTCTTCCAATAGACCGTCCTCGACATCAAACCTTCACCTCTGAGGAACACGGCCTCTACATTTTGACGATTTCAACGCATATTCACCCTAATTGTTTGTCATTTTTAAGGTTTCGCTCTTTTTAATGCAACAGAAGAGATGTCGCATACTTGTTAGCCTATAGGCCAACATGGCAGAGAATGATCATAAAAAAATGAAATCTTTTAAGATTCATCTGCGGTTTATATAAAATTGGTACTCTTTCCGTTGCAAACGGTCAAATTGAAGGACGGTCCCTGAGGCTACCCCTCGTGATAATAGCTGAAATTGTTTCAAATCAAGAAATTAGTCATCGACAAAATTTGAAATAATCTCTCCTTTGGGTGATATTAAGAGGTTCGTTTCATCATTCTAAAAGTTACTGAGCATTCAAATCGCCATCAGCGCCAAGCAGCGCGTGGCAAGTGATGAATCGGCCGTCACTTCACGCCGCATCACAGCGAGAAGAAAATAGTCCTTGATTCGTGAAGATCGTACGATTTATGAAGTAATCGTGCGTGGGGTTGAAATTTATCGATATGATTTCTTTCAAAATTGCTAATTAACTGCTAAACAAGCGATGTGATAAATTACGCCTGGGCCTCTGAAAGTACTCTCATTGCTCCACGGGGGCTCCTTCTGTGCTTTCTTTAATATAAGCTGCTACTTTTCTTGATTTAAGTGACCGGCACAGCACAGATTTTTCTAGAAGCGCACATTACAAGGTTAACCTTATCGATATAAATTGAAGACAGGCTATGAGTACATTTTATTAAAAGAAAGTTGAGGAAGCATTGCTTAACCTTCCACCGTTTAAGTGAGAGACGACGATAAAAAAAGTGGATCACATTTCGATGTCATACAGTCTTGGCCAGTGATCAAATCCACAAACTATAAAATGTTCTTTCTGTCAAACTGAAGAAAAATATTTCCAAATATTACACATATTTTATGGAATATGATTTTTTCAAAACTTCACTTGTAGTTTCTCTCTCTCTCTCTCTCTCTCTCTCTCTCTCTCCCCCCCCCCCATCTCAAACCATCCGCCAAACACACATAAGTTTGACACTCCAAAGACATTTGATCCAAACCAATCAATCTTCCATTCTATTAACTTGTCTCCCTTCTAATTTTGAAAATATCGTTCCATTTCTTGTTCAAATATCAATCAATTCGCGACCCGCTCTGGTGTAGACAAGCCTTTCCCACGCCAAAATAACCGTGGCAATACCAGGCAAGGGGTGGGCGTACCAAAATAAAGATAATTTTGCGATTGCTGTGTATTGCACGTTTTAGAAGAGCCATTGCCTTATTTTGTTACTAATGCAATAAATGCAACAATATGTAAATCAATTTTTTTAAAATATCGAAATTCAAGATTGCATTCAATGTTCAAAATGACAAAAGGGATAGTAATAATTTTTTTAAAAATATTTTTACAGAATGAAAGGAAAAGGTAAAAATTACAAGATAATTGTAGAAAAAATATGCAAAACTCGATAATTTTTACAGAATAATTTTTGCTTAGAGTCTTATTATCACATTTGTTACAAACTTCCTATCCCTTAGATTGCCTGACCATCCCCCCCTAACAGTGCCGAACACTTCCTTTTGTTCTAAAACAGAAAAACAAAATTAAAATACACATACATTGACTTTGTTCTTCTTATTTTGTCGTTCGAAAAGCTTGTCGAACAAGAGCAACGGAACATAATAACCACATGGCTTACCCTGCGATAGCGCCAACTCATTTATTATATTGTATAGTTGTAATTCATACTCCGTATGTAATAAACATATAGTTACCTCTTTGTGTCGGTGTAATGTATACTAATATGGTGGTGTAAATGCTTTCTTCGACATGGAAGACCAAAATCCATGCGTGTTTCGCAGGCCTACATGTACAGCCAGTATGGCACGCTATCTTAGGTTCTTTGATATTTCCATGAAGTAGGTCAATGTTTGAATTGATCTATTTCCATTTTTGGTAATAGTCATATTATTATTATTATTATTATTATTACTATTATTATTATTATTATTATTATTATTATTATTATTATTATTATATAACACACGCTTGATTAGAATGTGTATTAATTGTTTCGATTACGTGGTTTGAATAAGATTATTGAAAATTTCTAATTATTCAATATATGATTTCTTTCGAAGTAACGAGTGTGACTGCAATATGTGACAATCTCAGCTAAGCAGGGGCTCTGTTGGAGAGTGAAACGGTTATCATGTCTGTTATTTTTAGCGCTAAGTATGACGCTCATGCCTTTGTCATATAACCTCCAGGAAGACCTGTGAACTAATTTAGTGTCAATCATCAGTGATGTGTAAGCTGATTATCTATTTCGGGAAGCATCACATTCAGTACTAATAGATCTAACAGGCAAAATAATAATAATAATTATAAAAAGTAGACCCTGTTATAAACATAAATGCGTGGAACTATAGTTGTTTTGATTCCAACAAATACCTCTTTATTTCTTTTGCCGTTGTTCATCTTTTGGGATTATCTTTTGTCGAACATAACTGAAAAAACAATTGTTTTGTTGAAATTGAGGTATAGGCCTACGTCAAGTTCAAATCCTAATGTTTTTTTTTTCCTTCAGCGCCATTGTTTGCTTTTTTAAAATTCCGTCATGCATGCCTGCTTTACTCTACAAAATCTAATAAATAAATAAATTGAGAAATGAAATAACAAATAAATAAATAAACTTTAAAAAATCCCGAATGTGGCAAAATCCCGAATCTGCAAGTTAGAATGTTAATTTAATGGGGGTATCTGGTAGGCCTAATTGCAATTTTTGACAAACTTTTTTTTACTGATAATGATATTATGCCTACTAAAATTTGTCTACATGATCTTGGAAAATACGTGCACTCTTTTGTAGATGGATGTTAAATAACTTTTTTCAGAACAATATTTTCCTCAAAATATATGCTTTTATTCAACTTGACTTGCTAATAGCCTATGTCCATATGCTAATTTGTAGTAGGCTAATTACGAAAGTAACCTAAATAAGGGCAATATTTTATCGTCATCTATAGTGGAATCCTATTTACATTTCATTGTTAGGTAATTCTAAAAAAAAAATATTAATTTTTTTTCTACGTGTATCTAGTCTTAATGCCCTCTATCTGTCGGTTGATTTAAAAATCCCGGTATTTCTGGCGATAGCTACGCATGCGCTATTATTTCAGATGCATTTCCGTGTACATCCGGTGTTTTCCACGTTGGAGGCAGTCACAGCTGAACGCGGAGGCAGCCACATCTGCAGGCGTTCTCACAGACGTAGCAACATGCAACATGAAGAAGGCAAGAGAAGGTAAAGTATGCAAAAATGATTTTGTCAAAACCCAACTGCCCAACCAAAAGTGTCGTAAAAAGAGCTAAGTCTAAGTAGAGGCCACCTACACTAAGGCCCTGGACCAGAATGGTCCTTTAAGTTCAACTAGTTAAAATTTTAATTTCTAATAGTAAGTGTGTGCTGGAAACTGGGGTATGAATGTAGTATACAGGTATTTTAAAAGTGCTGACTATTAGAAACCTTCTTGAATTTTTGTATAAACTGGAGTTAAGCCAACAGAATTTTGTTTCATTTCCACCAAAATTTAAGTTTTTCAAGAAATTCTCAGCATATGTGGTAGAAAGAGGGGGAAGACAAAGGACGGTTTGGACCTCTATCCTTTACTGTCCTGTATCAACCAGAGATCATATTTTTTAAAATCATTATTAGAAGAATGGGCAAATTATTGTCTTTTTAAATTAATATACTCAGTAATAGCTGATGTTGAGTTGTTTTGGTTTGATAATTTTTGTATCAAATGAGACAGGATCCTTGGCAACTAATAGATAATATCTTCCACGGGGGCGTCTCGATAGTCCGAAGGTTCATTGGTCCGAAGGTTCATTGGTCCGAAAAGTGGTAACATTTTTATCGATTTTTTTAATCAAGGGTTCATTGGTCCGAAGGTTCTATAGTGAACATTCGGACCAATGAACCTTCGGACTATTGAACCTTCGGACTATCGCTACGGCCCCATCTTCCACAATATACAAANCATAAACTAGCTGTGATAGTACCATTTCGGGACCGCTTTGAAGAGCTCCAGGAATTTGTTCCTCACATGCATAACTTTTTGAGCAAGAAAAAAATAAGGCACACAATATTCATCATCAACCAGGCTGATGGTCTAAGGTAGGCTAATCTGAAGACTGAAATAATGCTAAACATTTTGGAATATATGTATTGTTATATAAACAGAGTTGAAAGAAATTTCAGGTTAACATCGTGTAAGGTCAACCCCGTGTTTAACAATTTCATGTTTGTGCACAAAAAATTCAACAGTCCTGTGATGGCACTGTTTTGGCTTTATATTTGCTTTTGTATTTTCTCCTCATGCAGATTCAATCGTGGATCCCTGATAAACATTGGTTATCTAGTCAGTAAGAAAGAAGGATGTGACTACATTGCTATGCATGATGTAGATTTGCTGCCATTGAATCCAGAACTCAGCTATGATTTTCCCGAAGAAGGTCCATTCCATGTGTCGTCCCCATGGCTTCACCCTCTTTATCATTATAAGACATTTGTTGGTGGCATCTTGTTGCTGAGAAATGAACACTTTCAGCTGGTGAGTAACTAAAATGTGCAAGTAACAAAAAAGGAAATAAAATGCTATTTTCTGACAAAAACAAAAACTTACATAACCAGAATTTGTTTGTTGAGGTACCAGTATTGTCACACACATTCAGATTGCAGTATGCAAGAAATAAAAAAGACAAATTTCATCTGAAAGGTCAAAGATCCTCACAGTGTAATATTAAGAAGTGGTAAGTTCACTTTCGTGTTATAAACATTTTATGATAAGCTTAATATCAAAAGCCATGCAGTTTAGCATTTGTATAGAACTCAATTTAGTTTAGAAATTTGGTTTAGAAATGCTTGTAATTTATATTTCATATCTGTTATGTCTTTTATATTTGTTTTATTTAAATTAATGTAATAATATCAATGCTTTCAGGTAAATGGATTATCAAATCGATACTGGGGCTGGGGTAGAGAAGATGATGAGTTTTATGTTCGCATAAAGCAAGCCAAGTTAAATGTAAGTGCAATAAAATTGCTCAGATTGTTGACCGGAGATAACATTTGTCATGCTCACTAGGTAAATATTAATAAGGAATATTGCTTCACTATACATTGTTAATTAAAAGGTTTTATATTTATTGTCAGTAGGGTGTCTTAGGATAAGGAAAAATACTTGCTATTTAGCAGATTTATTTTTCAGAATGTAGACCCATTTACATAAAACATAGTGTACATCTATATGTAGTAAGCATACCATACTAATAACTTTTTTCTGTGGGTTTTTTTTTTCTTGAATGCAGTTTGTATGTAAAAGTTACTGTCAAGTAATATGATTATACAATCCTTTTTCCACCTCAAACTTGTTTCCAGGCATACTCATCAAGCATACAATTTTTCTAAAGAGGATTATTTTGTACCTAATGTGCATAGTTGCGTATGTTCTCTAATAGTCAGTTAACCACCCGTATTTAACAAAAGAATGTAGGTGTCATCAAGATAAGCATGATATGTATTGATCAAGTTGATCAAAGCATGTAGCCCAGCTTCATTATCTTAACATCTCAGGTAGACTGTTACCAGATTAATATCAGAAATTATGATAGCAATGGCTTAACAAAGGACAGGCAAAGCTCAATATGTTAATCTCAGGTAGCAATCAAAAAGATGATCACCTCACCTGGGGGAATCTACCCCCACAGCATACTTTGAATTTAACTTTAAAATTATAAACATTACTTTAGAAAAAAAAAATGCTGGGTTTTGGTTAAAAAGTTAACCATTGCTTGTGATTTAAAACATGAAATGTCTGTATCTAAATTTGGTTAATTCTCAGATTTTTAGACCAGCCAACTTCACAACTGGTTATCATACATTCAAGCATATACATGACAGAAAAAAGAGGAAACGAGATATGAAGAAGACACCTGATCAGAAAGAGGTAATTTTACATCCATTAGCAATTTACAGCAAGTTTTTTCTTGAAATCAAGCGCCCACTTCCAAAACATGTGACCAAATTAGCTGAAATTTGAAAACAAGTGCCCAGGATCCAAAGAATTGATGGATGAACAGTGTAAGATGTATGCAAGCTCTAAATTTTTTCATCTTGCCAAAATGTAATTTCACATAATATTATTCAAAAAGATTCTTTATTGAGGTATAATTTTACTTTTGTGAATTTCTTTTCAATCCAGCTTCTTCAATTTGGGTACACAATCTTAAAGGGATAATAACTCTTCGTATGAGATCTATATTTCACAATAAAAACATTTGTGAATAACTCATAGAAATATAATATATTCTGTTTTACCACAAAAACGGCAGTTATAGCTATTATTCTGATATCTGAGCTTGTCTTTAGACCACGTGACCTCCATTGATGGCTATACTCTGTTAAAATCTCTTAAGAGATTTTAACAAAAAACCAAACTTTTTAGAAAAAAAACAGGGACTAACTTTGAATGTGAAAATGGATTCATTAACCATTGGTAAGTATGGGAAAATTGTTGTTTACTCCAGGAAAATTCATTTTTTGGCCGAAACGAAGAGTTATTATCACTTTAATTAAAATATGTTATAGGATACATGTACTATAAAAGGCAATATTACTTTGAACAAAGTACTGCCTCAAATGTGACTGGTCAAATGTGACTATAGTGATCAAATTGACCATTCTTATTTGATTTGAAAATGACTTATTGCATACTTGACATTTGAAAATGCTTCACTTGAAATGGCAAAAAATGAGAGATCAAGAGCTTGAAAATGGATTTGTGGATTAATTATTGATACATCAATGTATACCCTACTGAAAAATGGAAAATTGAAATTTCCAGAAAAATTGATATTTTGCTTTATGAAGGCCTAATTTGCATTGCATACCTTTAATTTATTTTTCATGTTAGATGTAACATGTGATTTAACACAAGATTGATAAAAAAAAACCCAAATCATTATTACGAAAGCATGTTATACCCCCCAAAAAACACATACCCTATCTCTCTCTCTCTCTCTCTCTCTCTCACACACACACACACACACACACACACACACACACTTTCAGACAGCCTGTTATCCTCAGATGTTTTATGTTTCCAGACTGCCAGACACAGGGACTATGAGACAGGAGTGGACAATGTGCAATATGAAGTTGATAGCATCAGGTATATGGAGGTGGATGGGTCCCCATTCACTGTAGTCAATGTGGTGCTGATCTGTGACCTGACTGTCACTCCCTGGTGTGAGCCACTTGACGTCCAGGCCAACTCTTTAAAAAGGAAATCTGTTGGGTGATTATTTAACAGGTTTCTAAAACAAAGCCAATCCCTGCCTATTCCATTAATGATATCATTATGTTAAAATGTCATGTCCAATTTCTTGCTTGTTACATTTTCCTTATCATATGGTGCTGGATTTGCAGTGATTAAAAATCATGTATTCTGTGAAATAATACCCCTTAGGAGGTAAGCATACTTTTATTGGAAAAGGCCATCAGTAATCATTAGCAATCAGTATTGCAAATCAACTTAATGATTGGAACTTGGATTTAGGATAACTATCCCATTAGCTGATCTATATGTAATAGGAATATTATTTTCACCAAAGGGGCCATCTCTTTACTGGAAACAAGCAATTATGAAAGGGCACTTATCTATAGATAGATTTAAAGCATGAACCTTTTTTCTGAGTACATGTTATTGAACTAATATTTTTTCTTGTATGTAGCACCATTGGTTATTGAAATCTTTATGGTGTTTATTTAATATGCACTCTTTATATAAAACATTTATTTTATAAAGCTGTTTGATTATGAAAAGTTTGAAATTAAGATTGGCAATTTATTTCATAATTAAGAGGCAATATAGTAATTATTTATTTAAAAACTGTAGGAAGACTAAACTCTGTTTATGCATTGTTTAAGTGATTGATAATAGACATTTTGATTTCATTCTTTAGGGGATTCATGGGTAATTATACTTATGACAGTGCTTAAGCAAATGCATGTATAGAAATGACTATTAGTTAGCTTTCCTCAAGAGGGCTTTTACAAACAACCTCTGCATTTCACTAGAGTTAGATCAATAGTCTAGGGCAATGGAGTTGTACAAAACATCATCGTTTTCATGCTTTTGCAAGTATTTACTGTTCTTTATTGTTTTCTTCATGTACGTGACCTGTTATTTGTATGTTATTTTTCTGTCACAGTTCCTCTGATTGGGTGGAAGATGCTTTGGTAGAATAAAGGCAGTATCTTGATATTGATAAAATTATCCAAGTTTATGAACTATAGGTGTTTTTACATCAGTTCTGTAGAGTAATTGACATCAATAGATAACCAGGTAACATAGTGACCCCTAGTTACAACTATTTAATCCTTTGTTCAGTAATCTTTTGACATTAATTTTTTACCTGTTTCTGGTCCAGGTCAGAGCTGATGTGAACAGGCCTTGAGTATGTTGGTATAATTTTTATTACTACAATATTTCAAATGTGTAAGTAATGTGTTAGTAATGTTTCTTAGGATATATATATATAATGAAGTACTTAATGCATGTAAAACTAGTTGAAAACTGTTTCTAGCTTCCCAAATGTCCGTATACATAAAGTTGATAATAACATCCGTAGTTGAAATTTTATTTTAAGTATTTTTGTGTTAAGAAATAAAAAGTGTTGAAAAGTTCCTGGGTAACTAATTTATAATTTATGGAGGGATTTAAACTTTTTGATTAATTAATATCAACCACTTTAAGAGATTGAATAAGCTGTGATAAAAAAACTTATAAGACTCGTAAAAGCTTGTTCAATGAGGCAACTAACATAATCACCAGATAGAAATCTTCCAGACTGCAAAAGTCTCTTGGAAGACGAACCATGCTGGCGTACCATTGGACCAACTTTCCCACCTGATTGAAAGATTTAATGATACTTAATCTAGTAAGTATATGCTAGTTAAACATTGAGCTTGTTTAAGTGATCTTACAGTTGTAGCAACCACCTTGATTGCAATAGTCTGGAAAGATGAATTAACTGATCAGCATCCAAATGGATTTTTTTCAACATACATTCTCCTTTTTTGTTCAAATTGTGAAATCTGTTAAAATGCACAATTGTTCAAGAAGACATTATTTTGGGTGCTATGCATGATGTCTGCATATTTGTAAGCTTTGCTGTCTTTTAATCATAATGCTAAATATTCCATGTTATGATTGTGGTGTATAGAATGTGATTGTAAATTAATAATGGCCAGTATTTAAGTCATATAAAGATAATGGTCCCAGAAATAACTTCTACTTTGTATGTTAATATTACACAGCCATGCACCCAGCTTGGATAAGCTTGATCATCAATATTTCCTTGTTAGATGCTTTTGTTTATTATTGTTTTCTCACAGATAAGAATATTTAAAGTATTAAAGATTAAAGAATAATGAAATTTTTAATCAATGTGCTGTATGTTTTATTATTTTATTAATTGTTTCATATTGAGTCTAGTAAGATCACAGAACTGTCACAATAACAATAGCTTTCACACTAAACAGACACAAAAGACACTTGTTTATGAAATGTCAGACTTCTACAAATGTGAGACACGGATGGATGAAAATAGTTTTGAAGAAATGACTACAACAAATTTTGCATCAATTCCATGGTTCAATTCAAGGAAATTGGAGGAAGCAAAGTGCTTGTCATGATCTGTGCTTATTGCAGATATCTGTAAAGCAATTTTTACAATGCATATTGAAATAAATACAGCAAAGGTCCTTTGTTCTGTATTTTAAGTGGAAAAGAATTTAAATAAATTAAAGAAAAAAGTGCGCTGTAAAACAAAAATTCAAATGCTGTGAAAGCTGTTACAATTTACAATATATACAAAATACACTTGGTATAACAATAATAAGATTAGATGCAACATTTGGCACAATTTACAAATACCACAGTACTTATTAGTAACTTTGTTATCTCACTAAATGTTATCTTTCTGCAGCCCTTAGTTTTTAGACACATTTTCTTCATGATTTGTATAACATGTTAAACAAAAAGTACTTGTTGACCATTTTTAGCAACCTACTAGTACAATTTTAGCTCACATTATTTTTTAACTTCCAAAATAAGTTTTTGTTCAGGGATATTAATAATGCAATTCAATTACAGATCCCAAGCACCTGCTAGTGAATATAGTCATACCCAGTAAGGTTAGTGTATCTTCACCATGTTTATAATACATGCATGTAAAAATCATGCTGCAGTTGGAAAGCAAGGCTACCAACTGCATCAGTCCTCACTCCTTCCACAAAAAAATCCATAAAAATAAAGCATCAGCTTTGCAATTCTTCTTTATATGAAATCATCACAGTGGTATGATAATTATATTTGAGCAAAATATTTTAGTATCCAATACTGCCATGTATTGCTTAATGTTTATGTTGCATGTAATACTGTTTACTGCAAGAAGTTTAATACCAATCCAGTTTATGTGCATTGTGTCCTTTGAAAAAGAGAGACAAATGGCCAAGAAAATTTAAGTTCCATGTGTGTATCATGATTTATATTTCAATTTTCATCTTCAGCTTATTATTAATATCTTTATCAAACGCAGTGGGAGTTTTATGAAGGTGGGAATATCAAGGCAAAGCTCACAAAGATTGGTTTGACCAGGTTATCCACTGTCATGACCTGAAATATAGAAGAACAAAAATCAGTGACTGGAAATCCAGGCAAAAAATTGTTTACAAAATCATGTGTAGCAAGCACATGCAATTCAAATGAAGCTCTTCCACAGATCCATTAAATTTGTTATATGAAAGGGCATGATCTTTTTGGTGACATACCTCGCTCCTGCTGGTCTTGTCTCCAAGCCCAAACCTCTGTGTAAGAGGTCCTGTGGTATACAGCTCCTGCTCGCCATCATGTACTGTCTGCACCATTATTTTGTACTTGACGTCTCTGTCTGGACGCATGGAAAAAGTGGCACGCTCACACTGACGGAAAGTCAGGGTAGGGTCAGTGGGTTTTAGACGCTGAAACATCAAAGTTAACATTTTATCAGTATTGTATACTAATATATTAATGCAAAAACACTATTTCTTTTTAGTTTTAATAAATATTTACAAGTGTCATATTCAGACTGTTAAGGCAGCCCATAATGTCATGTTATGTTGTCTTAGAGCTGAAATTGTGAACATGCTCGCATATTTTACCATTTAAGCATTACCATGAGATATGACAAACAGATGGATTTTGTAATGAGAATGATTGTTGCCCTAATGCTGATGCATAATCACCTGCATGTAAAAGCTGTATGTCCCCCTCTTGCTGGTTCTGACAGCTTTGATCTCGAAATGAAAACCATGGAGGGAGAACACCTCAGAGTGGTAAGGAGGCTCCTGGAAATCCAAAAGCAGAATCAATTTTAATTAGACCCAAAATAGCATTCATAAGACAAAAATAGAAAATGAATGAATGAAAGGATGCCAATTTCTATTGTGTAGAGAAAAGAATGATAAAAATATATTTGATCTGCATGATAATTCCCTTGGTTTATGTGCTAAGGCAATTAGTAAATGTTTTTCAAGCAGGGGCATTGGCAAAATGCAGTAATTAAACTTCTCATTACTGCATATAACAACAAACTAGCTTCCTCAACTCACATCATCCACTATAAAGCCCTGTCTAATTGCTGCAGCATTGAAATTGGTCATCAGCGTCATATCCCCTCCTCCATGAAGCTACAGAAATAGAAGAAAAACCAATCAGGTATTATAGTTATATCAGTTAATATACACATCAGACATGGAATACAACTTAAAGATGCTGCCTTGAATTAATTTTCAACAAATAATAACTGCATTTTTCAATAAACTGACAGGTCTTTTTGTGCATAGTTTTCTTAAATCATTTTATAAATTAACCATATAAAAATGAAATTGAAATTATTAATTTCAAGTAGAATTATATGCTACAAAGGATACAGCATACATTAAAAAAATATCTTTAATTAGCAACAATTATTATTGCAATGGGTAAAAAAAGATAAACTGCATGACTGCTGTGTGATTATTTTATATACTGCCCAAATGAAAGCAATCCAAAGCATATTTTTCTTACAGCTTGATAGTGCTGAGCTAGGATGTGAACAATCCAACTTTGTGGCAAGATGTTCATCTGCTGAATATCTTGAATGTGGCTACCTGGAAAAAAAGTTGTAAATTTATAACCAAAGGCTGAAAACTTTCACAGACAGCATTTCACTTTTTTTTCAGCTTTGTTCAATAAATATCTACATCATACTTTTTATAAAGAAAATGGTTTTCAAATATGTGAGCTTTATTAATGATAACCATATCCATAAAGAGTATCATGCCCTTGGAATGTAAAAATGTGAAATGTATGTAAAAATGAAAAGCTACTTACTATCAATTATACCATGAAGTCTTAGTGTTTGGAACAGTGGAGCATAGGCTTGACCTTCTTCCCTCTCCAGTAAAGAGCTGTTTTTGGGCAAACTTGAATATAAAGAAGATTTGTTAGTAGACTGATCAATATAATTTTTCAGCTTTGTAACACCAAATTATAATACATATTTTAAAAATATATATTGTTCATAGGAGTCAAAATAATGTAACATACACATGTTCCTGTCTTTTTAGTGATAAAACGATATGGTAGGTAGTGTTTTGATTCCTAAACTATTTTGTACAAATCTACAAAAAATCTCCAGTACATTTAGAAATCAATAAACATTCATTATTTGAATATATGTTTTTATCTTGTATTTTATTAAAAGATGGTTAAAAGGGCTCCAGCAGCCAGTGCCAGTTACCTGTTGAAATATGCCAGTACAGAGCTGTGTGAAGGCATCAGCTGTATTTGAGGGTTCATCTGTAGAAAGACCCAGTATGCCAGCACCTTGTACAGTGAGTATTCATTGAATGTGAACAACCTGAAACAAAGATCAATAAAGGCTTTGTAATTAAAAAAGAAATGTTAATTGAAGTAGAGAGAGATTTGCACCTCATACTGCAATTGTTTTATCCTGGTCTACTCTTTGGTGTTACTTAAGGTACTTAATTTTGGTCGAAGCAAACCTTAGCTTCATCTTGTTTTTTTCTACAAGTGCAGTGTGCTGTACAATATGTTACCTGCTGGACTTGAGAATTTTCTGCAGCACATCCATGGGTAAGTCTCTCAGCTGTATTTGTGTGGACAGTTGGGGGATAAGGTTACATTCCAACCACCTCTCACATGATGTTGCCACCTCATGTTGTTTATACTAAAAATAATACACAAATTAATTTATTTGTTGAATAAATGCTTATTGGTCTATTTTTTCAGATCATTATCAAAATGCAGGCTTTATAAGTACCTGTACATTTGTTTTTACAAAAATGTTCCTGTTTGTATCACACACACAGGATGTTTAAATTCTTTTCACATTTTATGGGTTTACATATCCCAAATATTAATTCTTATCAATGCATAGATATAAAAATGTTTGTTTAATAACAAAAATAGTTGTTTTACAAGCCAATATAATAAGATGCCAGCATGAAAATGTAAAACAAACCTTGACTGCAGCTTGGTAAAAACTACACACTGTTCTGCTTCGAATAGAGCGCATCATAATTCGTGCACACCTGAGCATAAAAGACAACAGCGGTGACTAAAATAACAAATATTTAACAAATGTGGGACAGTATTAACTGTCTCAAAACTAATTTCTCAATTTCATGAAACCTGAGTTTTTGAAAAACTGTGCAAAATAAGGCAACATCATTATGTGTGCACAAAAGAGTAACAAACTTAAGGGAATTATTTCACAGTTCTCTTTATTAATAAAGAAATCACAAACAATTTTAAGTAAATTTACAGGGCATATTTACAGGTGGCAATTGTATTCATCACAAAAAAACAAACTGCTCCCTGTTCCCACTTACCCGTTTTCCAAATGTTTAAACTTGAGATGGTAAGCCACTGCCAGGACTCCCACCACATCCACCACTTCCACCTCTGTCTCATCATGATACAGGTTACCCAAGGCAACTGCTATAGCTGGTATGATCCAAATGATAAATAAATTATATCAAAATACGGAACAACTTTAACATATTGGGTTATCTATCAGTATTGCACCAAGAAAATATTAAATCTTAACAGAGCATCATTCTTTCTGTTGGTAAATTGAGCACACAATAACATATCCCACAAACATACACAAACGTAATTCTCCTTTTCAATAAAGGGATCAAAATTTCTAAACAGATCTTGATTATGATGAAAGCAAGTACTCAACTTACAATGTTTAGTTATCACTGGGTCTTTGAGGTCTAAAGTGATGACTGTCATGTTTGCCATGCAGCGAGCAGACGTATGTGCTGGGTGATCTAAACCACGTCTCTCCTTGCCTAACTCTGCCTCGTCTTTCACCTCAACCTTATTTAAACGACTGGAGATCTCACGGTATTCATTACTGTAGATGTGACTGCGGTTAATGTAATTGTCCAGGGTTTCAGAGGCCTTGTTCTTGTAGTAATAGCGAGGACAGGGGTTGTCAGCATAGTTAAGCAGACTGGACAAAGTTTCAGATTTCTGTAAAAATGGTCGATGTAATTCCCAATCCATGCCAGCACAATGCAAAAGCACATCTGAAATGTGATATGGTGAGATGAGATGAATGTACATTGTTTTAGGATACCTTGTAATTTATCAATATCAATTATCGTAAAATTGTCTACATTATGGCAAGAAACAGGTACATGTATATAAGATGATATATTTAACAAATTGTTTATGACTGTATTCAATACCCTAATTATTTCATTTAGAGTGTGCATATCTTTAATATATTAAGAATTATTATCTGTACACTGACATTGAAAATCAAAATCTAATTTCTTCTGAAAACTAATCCAAATACTGATTATAAAATGTGTTGTCTATTTTAAAGAGTTTTTAGCACGCATATACTATCTGACCAGTGCATTCTAGGTAAACCATACCTGGCCCAGTAGGGTATGTTGTTCTCTTTGAGTGATAGTGAAACACATCCATGGGCTTAGCTGGCCTGGCACGGGATGGCACAAAGGTTGGGATAGGAGGTATACTACAAGGTGGAACATCAAGTTCAACATAAATATAACTAAAAAATATTCTCGGTGGAAGTTGCCTTTGATGGTGCTTTGTGTTTATATTATAACAACAAATTAAATAATAATAATTATAAAAAGATGAAATATAATATAAATTAATAGTAGTTCTAGCATGGAAAAAACAAATCTTATCAGTTATATCTAATATGTGGTATTTTAACAGATAAAAATGTAAACTTTATGGTTAGGTTTACTTCTTTACTATTACTTGTAAATGAAAATATCATTAAAAAAGAATAGTGAGCTGCCTACCCAGCATATTTAGGTTTAGGCTGTGCACTGTAGGGGGGAGATGGACACTGAGGTAACATACTGCTAGCTACTGGACGATCTCCACCAGTTGTGGTCCTTGGCCTCATATCTGCCAGGGGAAACTTATATGGCTTCTCCATGTCTAAATTAATGGACTGGTGAGGGTTTTCAGCTAAATATTACAATAAAAAGTTAAATATATTGTGGTTTCTTTTTTTTAAATGATGCAAATAAATAAATAAATAAATAAATAAATAAATAAATAAATAAATAAATAAATAATAAAGCATTGTAAACAGAATAGTTCAAAAGCCCAGGGGGCAAAAAACTGTAACAAAATGAGGTGGTTTTTGCAATTAATGAACATTAATATGGGTACTAAACATATACCTGCCATCCTCTTTTAGACATTCAAAATTAATCATGAAGAAGTTAGTTTTCAAAAGTATGTACAGAAGCTCATAATGAACGGAACTAAGTTTAATAATAAATTAAAATAATCCAAAACAAAATTTAAAAAAAAGAGACTAAACAATGTATTGATCTGGATATATATCGTTACATAAGAGAAGGGATTAGCTGATATTGGGCACAATACTAAAGGAAAGGTATAAAAACATGAAAAACATTTGTGTTAATGGAGTATTTGACCCTACAGCTTTTATTCATAAAATTATAACAGAAAACTGTTGGCAATAAAATCAACATAACCTGGTATTACAAATAGTTTAACACATAAGACAATGTTGGAATATATTGATACCTGACCCACCCTCCCACTTGTTAATTTTTTTTTTCAATAACTATAAAAGAGAGTCCATAGCAACAACATCTAAAATGTGTGTTTAGCAGTACATGTACCTGTCAAAATGTGGACCATGGATTCATTGTATGGTAAGTTAATTGCTCTAAGTGCTTGTGATGACCCCAAAAGGTCACTGCCCAGAGATTCCGGCAGGCGCCAACGATTGGTACCTCCAACCATTTTACGTACTCTACAACGAGGTGTTACGGCATGCTGAAAATACAAAAGTTATCAATTAGTACTCTTCCTGAAAAAAGCACTACATTACTGTAGTGCTTGTATATCTAGTCATTTACTGGCCAATTTAAAATAGCAGCATAAATCCAAGCTAACATCTCTGTGCTTTTTGAGATTGTAAATATGTATGGAGTCTATATACAATATTTCACAGCTGTATTTCAAGGTTAAGCACAATTATGACTGCTTGATGCAAAACTCATTTATTGGCTGACCCTATTTTGAAATGTAAAATTATATAAGGCAATGTGGTTTCACCCAAGTCCTCAAAAACTTTTTACCCAACCGAAATATTCTATTCAGACATATTGCTACAACCCAATACCACAACCCAATTTAGAGCTGTGATTTATTTACAGAATCAGAATATTGGATTTCCAAACAAATAAAATGAAAAGAAAATAGCTTTGTATTGAAACTTGGTGAATAAACATCATGGCCCCGAATATGATCTCTAAATAAAGTGCATTAAGCATGCCTTTATGTCATTATTGATTTTGAATAAAATGCATTGTGAAGAAATACAAAGGCCGCCACACTAAGCTCCATAAACCAACACACTAGCATAAAGTGAGCTGGTGCTAAGGTGGCAGCACTATTAGTATGACCATAACAATTTTAGGGTATCAAGACTTCAAGAAAAAAAAAGCTTAAAGTTTAAAGTTGGTCTGTTTGCTTCATGAAAATTATTTTTATTTTCAGATTAAATAAATATCACATTTATAATTAAGAAAAAAAAGATTAAAAGATCCACACAAAGTTCACCCTAAGAGAATTCTCTTAATCAATTTTCTGGTATGATGTTAACATAGTTTGAGAAATAAAATACAAATGATGAAAATATGAAATGTATAGACTAAAGGAAAAAATGAAAACAAATGGAATGTGTATCAGGGAAAAAAGTAAAACTACACCCAAATTATAGCACCAGTTATTTTTGTTTAGTAATACTTACTCTTACTATAACTTCCTGTGTAGCAAATAAAAATATAATACTAACAATATTATAATTATACAAACATCATCAACTTACTATAGCAATCCCCAAAACACTTCTAAACTATGTATTTTGGATAATATACGTACTCAAATAATATTCTAAGCATTTTACAGACATACATGTACAAAGGCCATAAAGAAAAGGTTAAAAGAAAATAATCTAACATGAAAAAAGAAAGCTCCCATTTTCTTTAACATTTGCCAGAGTGGAACAAACTTCTGATAATTTACACATCTGCAAAACAAATAATTAAGATACACTAGTTAATATCCAATGTCTAACATACATTCTACATACTGGCAGTGTGTACTGAGTTACACAATAGATTAGTGACTCTGTACCAACTTCCATAGTCCATATACTCTAAGGGACTATTCCCACAGGCATTTGGATTGATCTATCTCCCTGGGGAGTCTCATTAAATGGCTGTCAACTGGACTGGCTGAAATTTCTGTCATGCCTAGTAAAGCTGTTAGGGGGTAATTATCTTTACCCTCTAGCTGATTCAGTATGCGTAACAGACATTTAAGCTGGTTAGTTGACAGCAATTTAGTGAGACTCCCCAGGGGTTAGATCGATCCAGATTGATCGATCTAAGCATGGGAACCCAGTCTAAATCCAGTGGTATTATGTCTACTTACCCTTTCTGGTTTCCTTCCATCAACCACTACCCCCATTAGTGCTGTAGTGGGAGCTGTTAAAACAGACCTGAAGATGAACAATAAAAAATATAAATTACTAACATATCCTACACTATAAGGAAGAAAATGCAGTATAGAAAAGGGATATTACTGCCTTATCAAATTAAAAGTTTAAGATGTTTAAATACTTGTCTCTCTGGTACATTCCCTAGTTACTTATGCATACACAAAGATCATTTGGTGGGTTTGGATACCAGTACATGTACTGTAATCTATAGGATTTAAGTTTGTTGACCTCAGATTAGGGATGGGCAATATATATATATATATATATATATATATATATATATATATATATATATATATATATATATATATATCACCATAAACAGGAGTGGTAGCATAGATCTGTGTGCTTTTTTATTATTTTTTTTTTCAAATGCAAGAAAATAATAATGTGTTCTTTGAGCCAAAGCAATGTTTGTAGATATTCAATAATAAGGAAAATAACATCAGTAAGTGCACTAATGGCTTGTAAATATATCTGACGTTTGATGTTTGGAAAAATTGCAAGTACTAAGTCTAAGGATCAGACCATAAATGTGCTAGCTGCTATAATTTATTATTATGCTTTTACAATGTATTTTTTTTTAAATTAAAATGTAATTTTTTACCTGTTGAAAGCTGTTAGACCATTGTTATATCCATAAGCAAAATGACAATAAATTAACTATGCTTATTCGTTCAATAACCAAGAAAAATAAAAATTGTTAATGTGATACGTGTAACACGTCAAGATGTGTTGCAGGTGTTGGAGTTTGGTAACTAATATTGGCTACTGCTTTAAATTAAAAGTCCGAGAGATTGACATCTGCAAATATACAATGTAACTTACCTGATATACGACAAAGAATCTTCGGACGGCTTTGGGGGAAATGTGGGATAGTAGGATGTGTGAAGTTTAGGAGGCAGGTACGTCATCGTCTTTGCCTCCGCCATCATCCTCACGCTTTGTGTCTCCAGGAAGTGACGTAGAACTCCTCGATTAAGAAGCCGTCTGTTTTCTTCCGAAAAATAAAGTAGTACATAAATCTAAAAACCCACATACTGTATATATACAACATTTGTAATGCTTAAATGTAAATTTTACACTTATAATTGTAATTTATTTCATTTTATTGATAAAAGATATACATTAATGTTTAAAATTAGCTTTGCGGATCAATACACAAAACAAACAGGTGTTTTCCCATCGGTGGACAGTAATAGCCCATTATCAAACTGGCAGGATGACCATTGGCTAGCAGACAACACAGTTCGTAAATTGGTTAGAAACAGAAAGTTTAAGTTAAATTAACGACTCCAGCTTGCAGATGCTTTCGTCTGTCGCTCGTATGCACACTTTTTTAAAAGATAGTGGGCTTAGAAATTTTAGACATTTGGGGAGTTTGAAACGAAGTGATAAACTGTGTCACGTGCTGCCAACTTTTCTGTACATTAATAAAAGGTAACGAGTGTGACTCCTCTCTCAAAATTTTAAAACTATTTATCAACTGCGCCTGTTCATTTTTATATAGAGGCGAAGCAAAATTTATAATGTTAGTTCTAATATCACCATTTTACTTGCTTTGCAATTTATCTTGTAGTTCTGTTTTACATACCTACTAGTACAGTACAGTGTACATTTGTACATAAAAAAAAAAACGCAAACATTGTAGTCCGTACCAGCTAATCAAAATATATACCAGAAGGATTTATTATATTTCAGCTATACAAGTGCAATGGCAGATTCGTCCTCGCTGAAACAAATTGCGTGCTCCACTATTGAGAACAGAAAAGAAGAACTGAATCAGCTGAGTCAGAAAATATGGTGTAACCCAGAACTGAAATATGAGGAACATCAGGCACATGATCTACTAACGGGATTCTTGGAAAAAGAAAGGTTTAAGGTGGAGAGAAACCACCACTTGCCAACTGCTTTCAAGGCAATCTATGAGTCAGGCCTTGGTGTCACAGTTGCTGTGATTTGTGAATACGATGCTCTACCTGAGATAGGACATGCATGTGGTCATAATCTGATAGCAGAACTTGGAGTGGCTGCCAGCCTGGGAATCAAAGCTGCCCTTGAACAGTCTAACAGCAAACTGGGAAAGGTGATGCATCGTTCTTGGTTTTATGCAATACTAAAGTTTATTTCTCTGTCTCACACATTTTCAGTGTTGCCTTTAACTGATTTTGTCCTTTGATGTTTTTATCACAATTACTTAAATATGATTCTATTATTTTTATTTTTTGTTTAATGTACAAAATTAGAATGATAAGGTCAACAGTTTCTGTATCTTTTTAACGGTAAATTAAAGCATACCCGTAGGTGATGGTTAATTAATGGTTATAAATGGAATAGCACTTACAATGATAAAGAAATAACAGTATAGTAAAAAAACTAAAAGTTCTTCCCAAAAGAAATTATTTCATAATCTAATTTAACGGTCTCTTACAAATATGCCCTGCATTACTTTTATGTTAAATTCAGACTTAAATGTCTTGAAGTAAACCATAGTCACATTCTTCTTACACAAGAATGTCTTTCAGTTATGTTTTAGTGATGATACAGTTACAAGGAAGTCTTGATTAGAGTGACACCACATTTTCATATCATAAGCAAAACAAACAAAAACTAAGTTAAAACAGCCAAAACCTTTTACAGAAGAATTAGTATATGGTATATGGCATGAAACATTAGTATATGGCATGTCCATATAGTACTTTCTTTCTATGATAACTGGTACTTTTGGTTGATCACACATCACCATACTCCTTTCATAATATTAGTATATGTATATTAATTTAAAAATTATTTCAGGTCCATTTTATTTCCAGTTGGTGGTTCTTGGTACCCCAGCAGAGGAAATGGGAGGAGGGAAGATTGACCTTATAAATGCAGGGGCTTTCAGTGATATTGATATCGCCATGATGGCTCATCCAAAGGCATTTGATATCAGCAGGCCCATTGCACTAGCTAATGCCATGTACGCCACTTTGTTTGTGCTGTGCTTTTATGAATGTAACAGTATTTAGCAATGCTATATTTTATAAATGTAAATGTTTACATAATTATTAGGAATAAGTTAATGTGATTTATTCTTTCACGTTTTAGGAGTTTGGTTTAAAAAGTTATTGTACATTTCTCCTTTAGTTATTAAACTGTTTAAAACCTCAAAATTATTCAAAAGTCTCAATGAGGCATTGAAACTTGTCACATTCAGAGTAACAGTGCGTTATCGAGGCCGCCCAGCCCATGCCTCTAGTTTGCCCTGGATGGGTCTGAATGCACTGGATGCTGCTGTCATGTGTTATCAAGGGATAGCATGTATGAGACAACAGATGAAACCGACATGTAGAATCCATGGTAAGGGGTGACTAGTGTTCTGTGGTAAACTGTTATATTCATTTGTAATAATTAATAATAATAAGATCAGCTTATAATTTATTGTCATACTGATACAAGTGTTAAATGAAAATCTCTGTGTGATCTGTATTAGAAGTTGATACATGAATGCTTTATGGAATTTTGGTATTAGTGTTTTACTAAAATATCTAAAATGCCTTAAAACAGTTGCATGGTTGTGGGTGAAAATGAATATTTTTCTTTCAATTTATTTCTGGACAAACTTGGCAAGTGGAGAGCCAGTTATATGTACCATTTGACAGTCTTACTAGAAATGTTTGAAATATTTAATTTATAAATATTTATGTGTAGGTATAATAACAAATGGAGGTGCTGCTGCCAATGTGATACCAGAGCTTACAGAGTTGGAGTTCATGGTGAGAGGTCCAACAGTGGTGGAAGTGGAGGAACTGAAGAAGAAGGCTATACAGTGCTTTGAAGCTGCAGCCACTATGACTGGATGCACAGTAAGGAAAAAACCTTGATTTTTAAAAACTTTAATAGTGAGAGCTGTACAACCTACTTGATAAAAACTTATTGTTTAAAAAACTTTGAGATCTACAAATTGTTAAGCAACAAGGTTAAGCATTAATTCAACTTTGAATTTACTGAAGGTGGTATCATTTATTAGGTGGAGTTAGAATGGGTACCTAATGCCTATGCAAACATGGTGACAAACAGCACCTTGATCAGCCTGTATGAGGAGAATGCTTCAAAATTAGGCTGGCACCACCACACTGAAGGAAAACCTGAATTGAAGACCTCAGGTTCCACAGACATGGGCAATGTATCATATGTGGTGCCCAGCATTCATCCTTTCTTTAATATTGGAACAGATGTCTCCAATCATTCTCGAGTGTTTACAGAAGTTGCAGGTAAGAAACAGGATCCCCACACAGCTTTTTAAAATTAAGTGTAAAAGATAAAGTTGCATATTGTTACAGAAAGCAGATGAGATTTTGATAAGAGTAATCATGGTTGCATATTCAGTGGTATTTTCTTAATGATGCCATTGTCAATGAGACATTTTTCAACTTTATCAGTTTTTGGTGTTTATTTTTCAATGCAAGGTTCCCCAGGTGCTCAGCCTTATACACTTCGTGCAGCTAAAGCTCTGGCCATGACAGCCCTAGATGTACTTTCCCAACCTCAGCTGATAAATCGGATAAAGGAGGACTTCCAAAAAGATTTGGAGACTAATAGTAGTTGACAGATTGTATGTTGGATTGTGAATGTAAAGACCACTCAAGATGTTGAGAATCTGGAATGGTGCTTCATGGTGCTGATCATAAGATACAAACTATGGACTGAAATATGATGTTGACATATTAATATATTCCCACAAATATTTGGGTTTTGTTAATACTAACATATTTAATCCAATGCAACATTAGATTTTTTAAAATGCCTATACAGGATTATGATAAGTGCATACTTAAAGTTTCGTCCACTTGAACGCAGGAAAATATTTTTCATGTACCCAAGGTTTACAGATGTGATATTAGTCATTTACGGCAAAAACTTAATTTCTAGGAAAATGAACAGGTTTTTTTGCCTATAGGATAACCAAGTTGTGATCTCTGACAGAAAAAAAAATGTCAAAATCTTGTGTCCAATGAAGTGACTTCAACTACCCATATCATCTTTGAGAAACGTGTTTATTAGCACTTTTTGTAATTTTAACAACAAAAACAACATGTAATTTTAACAACAAAATCAACAACAAAACAATTATCTTGTAGGTTACATCAAGTTTCTTTCAATAATGAGAGAGAAACACATCTGGTCTAAGCATGCTGTTGCTGCTCCCATTTCGCCCAAGGGTGAGGGATGATGATGACATCAAGTTTAATAATATTCAACATCGAATGTGATTTTAAAAATGTGCAAACCTACAACATTTTTTGTATATGTGCAATATCTTATTGGGCAGTTTCCAGTTGATTTGAATTAAGAGAAAAAAGATCATGAAACAAAAAAAAAAAAAAAGCCCAGAAAGGTCTTAATATGAAAAATCACACTGAACAATTTTAAGAATGAAGTAAAGGCCCATCTGATTGCAAAATATTGTATGTAAAAGCTTATTTTTGTTAAATTAGATTCAGTAATCTTTCTCTCGGTCTGCCAAAGTTTTGGAAGCTAGAGCATTAGCTCACCACAATCAAGGTAGTGTTTGTTGATACTTGATATTCTGAAACAAAATGTCGTTTGTTTAACTTTGTATATGTGACCCTAAAACATTTTAACAATCTAACACAAACAATTGGTTGTATGTACATACAATGAAGAGTGGATTTTTAAATTTAACAGGTGCAGTGCCATGAATTGCAAGAAGTTAATTACATAGTTTGCAAATATATATATTTTATCATTAGATTTTATTAATATATATTTTTTTGATAATGAAATAATATTAAGGTAATCATTGGATTTACCTTCAACAAGTATGTCGTTTGTTTCAATTTTGAGACTGCCTAGCTGGTTCTCTGAGAACGCTGTCTGTAGCATTGTCAACATGTCTCCCTCGGTCACAACAAAATCTCCAGGAGATGGATAAAAATATAGGTACAGTTGGGCCAAGGTCCCTAGACTCACTGGTCTGAAATTGAGAAAATGGAATGTAATTTCGAGGGAAAAAATCCAGTTTCAAAGAAGAAGACTATTTTGATAAAACTTGAACTATATAGATGTTTATGATGAAAATTAAGCTGATCTTAAAATATGACAAATGGAACTTGACGTCAACTGGGACAACAAACTGGACCAGAGATAGGAAACTTCATAGTCCAGAAACCACCGAGTACTTATGAGAAGCATTAAGGCTAATGATAGGCAACTGTATCTGACTTGAATAGAACAGATTGATTATGAGCCGAATAAATTTATATTATAAACCAGTTGTTACATTTGGCCCTTCTGTTCAGTTCTTACTTAAACGACGATGTTCTTGAGTATGCATACACAGGATCAACAAAGCTGGAATGGATAACATTATCAACCTGAAAAGAGAATTATCTTAATAAAGAAACGATATCATACAAAACATTTGTTGCATCCCTGTACTGTGAAAATTGGTAGTTTAATTGTCAGGTGACAGAATTCCATTATATGAAATGTAATTAACCTCTTGTTGAAATTATTTTTAAAATGTGCCTTTCGAAAAGTGTATGATACTTTCTGGAGTCTTACTTCATTTTCTAACCGAGTTGCCAAAGTTTTGAAAGCAGGAGTAAATCCATAGTGCAGAGCTAGTAGATATTCTACACCAAGCAAGTGTAAACTGCATTTAAATCCTAGAAAAAAGAAAGTACGCACACAACATTTAGTCACATTTTACACTGTGTACTTCTATTTCATAATTACATGAAGCTCGATCGAGCGAAAAAAAGTTTTGTTGGATCTGTTAATAGTAATGCCGAGAAATATTCAAGATGTTTTAAACCTTTTTTTAAGGGACCATTTCTTTACGTCTTCGTATAGCTTTCCCGCCCCCGTGCAAAACTATGATGTTCACACACGCATCGATACTCCTCCGTTACGCTGTTACACGCCGTTGGTCTTGATTAATGATTCAAAATATTGACCTTTTTTATTTTGTTTTAGGTGTTGCATTTTACGTGATGTTACAGCAGAATGGGTAAAAATCACCGACAGCTTTCAGTTCTGAAGTCTAAATAAAATCTAAACGGAACGGTCAACAGCATTTCAAAATAATCAATTAACAAAAAATTAAATAAATAACTAAGTAAATGAATAAAGAAGAATATAAACATGAATATTTCTTTGCACAGCACCATCAATTAACTAATGGTCGTTTACTAGCCCCCATTCATGAAGAGAAACGACCAAAAGGTTTTCCTTCTTACAGATATTCCCAGTTATTAGCTATGGTACGACTTTCTGTCCTACCCCCCCCCCCCCCACCCCCAACACACACACAGGCGCGCGCGCACTAATATACATACTTGGCCGTGGCTCGCCAGTTTGCTGCAATTTTTCACTTTTAGGATTGTCCTGAACACCGTTATGGGCATTTTTTACTGAAAAAATATTCTGACTCAGTAATGTATAAGACGTAGGTTTGTCAAATATATCACTGGAATATAAGAAATGTGAATAAACGTTATATATATATATATATATATATATATATATATATATATATATATATATATATATATATATATATTTAAATTGACATTGTTTAAAAATACTTGGGATGGTTTGTGTCATGCATCTGTACATGTGGATTTTAAGAAATTGTATTTAACAGTCTGATTTGTAGGCCTGTGTAAGAGGAAAATATTTGTCAAGTTCAGTACTTATATGGTATGTTCCATATCCTACAACCAGCATTATTACTGTAATGAGCACAATAACCATCAAAACCAGATGGGCGTTGCCTTGACATCGGCTGGGTCTTTTATAAGACTGTCTCATTTGACCTGAAAAATACAATACATTGAAACATTAGTAACTTTCAATAAGTATACATATCTTACTGCACTCTTTCAAAAAAAAAAAAAAAAAAAAAAATTCGAACAAGAACAACATTTTGTTCAAGTGATATCTTTCAGGTCATTCTTCACTTTATCAAGAATTTAATTGAAATTCCTATATTTTCAATAAATCAAGGAAATACCTAAAATAACTGAACATGCAATTTGTATGTGCATATATATTAACTTTGTATATTCAGATAATGGCATAAATGGTGTTCATGCTTTTTGATGGGCCTAGTGAAAAGGAACCACTGTGTTTTCCTATCCTTCTGTCGACGCCCTCCATACCATCGGGCTCATACACCGGGTTGTACAGTTGGCCAGACTTCACCTGAAGACGCAGCAGGGTCACGTCCTTGTGATGAACCTTTGTGCACCATGGAAGTGAAAAATACTTTTAATAACTGCCATGTCTTATAATATGCAAACGTCGAGGTGGTAATTTTTTAGTACGTCGTTCTTTTTAACCACGGTCATTCATTTCGTTGTTTCATCAATAGGGAGAACACAAATGAATTTTCCTTAGCCATACTGTCTAACTGATGATTCTTTTCTCTTAATTTCTCGAACAATATACAATTATATACCTTCGGTATGATTCCACAAAAATGTCGGGAGTCAGTCATATTCTGCGTTCTGTCCGGCAGGTAAGTCCCGGACCACTTCTCACCTGCGCACTCACTACAGTCAAATTGGCCGTTTTTGTAAATCATTCTGATCATGTGACGGCTAAATAGTCATCGTGTTTGTCTGCTGGTTGGAGGCTGTAGAGAAATGACTAGAATAAAGAATGGCAATAACAAGAGCATGATGCAGGTTATAATACAATTATAACGTTTCCAATCAAAAATTTACGATATTTTGAAACAAAATTGAAATCGCTTCTTGTAATAGGTCTTTTCTCGTATTTTCGCTTGATTTCAGCAACATGGGCATTGCATGCCTTAATTCATAAACATTTTACATACTAAATATCTGAATTTTAAAATTGTTTTCATCGTTCCACCAGATTTATTCAGAAGGTCTATCTGTATAGCACATCCACAGTTTAAAACCATTTAAGGCAAAGGGTCGAATTGTTTGAGAGTGATTTAAAAGGATCTTTATTGAGTATTGATAGTTCTTATTTAAAAGTTAATGTCAATTTCAAATCCATTAAAATATTGCACAAAAACCTTTACCTAACTTAATTTTAAAAATTTCCACCATATCTCGGTATGAAGAGTTTCAATATTTGAGTGAATATTTTCATTTTTTTTTCATATCCTGTTGTTTATCCTTGGGAGTTTCAATGTTCTTCACATGACATATTTAAAACATGTAACAGATGGATAAAACACACCTTACTTCCCTTATCAATATCTAAAAAAAATTCAACACGGTAATTATTGAAAAAAAACTTTTGATATTACTGCACAGACAACATAGTATTGCTTCAACAGTTTTTAACATTATCTTAAAACAAGGATGATTAATTGTCATTCTGCTCATTTGCATAACTGCTCACACCCTCATTTTGTGTCATGATGCATGACCCAACTTCTACTTTGGGATCATCTGCCTTGTGTACGGAAATAACTCATTGACACTCATAGGTCATTAAACATTGTAGTTTCTTAGCTAAACGAGCCCCACTGTAGTGTCTCTCTGGATTACACTCCAACTATTTTTTCTGGTCACCTTTCTTCGATAATTCAGACAACTTTTGAGAAATTCCATGTGATGTTGCCCCATCCTAACTAAAGCTAATTTAATCATCTGGCTAGAGGTTGCGACTCTTCTTAGAGACCACCAAATGTGGCTTTACTAATTTTATTAAGGTTTTTTAATTTTGCGCTGCAGGAATGTTACTGGATCTTCCGAGTTAAAAAGGTTCATGTATTATATTACACAATGATATGAAGTAAAATCATATGATATTCCACTTAATCACAGATATTATTATATTACGTCATTAAACTCTACAGTACGGTCCTATAAAATGGCGATTTGAAATAATTTGAGGGGGTTTATCTAATACCTCACCATCCAGTCGGCCTATTGACCAACACAGAGACTTATTCTAAAATTATTCGAAAATTAAAGATAGAGCAGCATTTACGAGATAAGCCGCGTTCGGCGGTAACTGGCTTGTAAACAAATGTCACCGGAGAGATTGATAGATCGATAGATTGATTGATACCCGGGAGGATGTTTACGCAGGATTCAGTTTCTAGGGTGAATAGAAATGAATTTTTGATTTTGCAACATAATTAGACACCGAATTTGATGACAGAGATTTGGTCTGCGGTAATATGACGTGTTGTGTTTTACATATCACGAAAAATAAATCTTCAATCATTACTTTTATCTGTCAATCTTTGGATTAAGCCCTTTATTTTTGGAAGTAATCCTGCAATTTCAAATACCACGTCGTTTCGTTGAAGTTATGTGCAGATGGTTTAACCATTACTCACAGAAAATTAAATTGGTCTTACGCTCGAGAGTTAACACACATTAAGTCCTGCGTGGTATTAACGAATCTTGTAACATTAAAACTTGATTAAAAGTACAAACGAGAAGTAATCCACTGGAAATGACGTTTTATAAAAAGGTCCTCGAGGGTCTTCAGGCTTTAAGTCGCTCTGTTACTTAACCGACTGAGCACGGCATTGTCTTCCAAGATGTCGGGAAAAATCCTAGTTGGATTTGTTGCTTTCGCATGTTTATTTGTAAATTGCAGATGTTTGCCAGGTAAGGACACAAATTTCAAACATTCCAAAGTTTTGAAATTGATATCTGTTATTTCTGCAAAATTACGTCTACCTGTAGGCTTGAGATTTTTAATTTGAAAAAATAAGATGTTTGCATTTCTTAAATAATTTGATATTCTTTTGCAGCTAAAGAAGGCAAATTTAAATTTTCGATTTTGATAGTGTCAAACTAAGTGGTAATAACAGGAACTATATTTAAGCACAGAAGATAAAAACAACTTGTTACGACAAAGTGAAACAGGGTAAGAATTGAGGTTAGGAAAGCCCAAGGGAATTTTATATTATTCATTAATTCAATATGTATAAAAATGTAATAACAGTGTAACAACGTGCGCACATCCCACTGCCTCCGTGGAGACACGAGTCTGAGAACTTTGCCAACAAGTATGGTGCGGAACCCTGTACCCACCTCGATTTCATGGAGAAGGCAATGAAAAATTGCGCCGATGCTGTCGATTTTGCACACCTGGCTTAATAAAATTAAACTAAAAAATTCTTAATAATTGAATTATTTTTCGAACAATTCTTTAAAAAGAAATTGGCACCGTCATAGTATTTATTTCCAACATTTACGGAAAGAGTGGGGTTATTTATATAGATGATGAAATCAACCGTGCAAAAATATGTGTAAGGTATATCACTATTTACGGGACCCACTGATCCTCCAACCACAATCACCCTGGAAAGCAAACTTTTGGTCCAAAATAATTTTTCACATCTCTAGCTCTCTCTCTCTCTCTCTCTCTCTCTCTTTGTGTGTGTGTGTGTGTGTGTGTGTGTGTGTGTGTGTGTAAATGTATATCTTAAATCTGAAGTTGATATTGTGGTGTGTATTTCAAAGGAATCAAAACACAGGAGGCTCCGCCACTCCCAAAAGATGCACCCGTCAAACCGCCTCTCCCTGTCTACCATTGGGGCGCTGACGGGATGTCGCCACAACTCCCAGTGGAACCTGATCACAAGATAGCTGTCAAGATAAATGCTCCAGATGACGTGATGAGAGAATTCAGCCTCTTTTCCACAACTAGGCTGCCACTTCCACAGCATGACGAACCTGCCCCGCCTCCACCCCCGAAAAAGAGAGTTGAGAGTAAACCTGTCCTCCCCGTCGAAATCGACGAACCTTTCGAAGGTCTGCCTTCCACTCCATCTCCAGTGATGATTGTCCCCAAAACAACAAGAATACCCGGGGTCGGAGGAGTGTATAAAAGTGCGTAATTATTTCAGAAAAAATAGTTCAAAGTTGGCTGCATCCTATAAGTCGTAAACTACTATGATCCTAGTGCCCTTTCTCTCACAAAAGTTCTGTTGTGACTGCAAGATGGTCATTTTATAGGCCCTTCCATCAGCATGTTTTTGTTAACAAAAAAAGGGAGGTTCCTTGCTTATTGAAAAAAAGTATCATATGTTCAAAATTATAAGGTGAAATTTCTGGTGGGGTTGAGCAAATAAAGTACCAAAACGCCATAGATTAAGAATATTGGTTATTTCAGCGACCTGCGAGTACAAAGGCGAAGATTACAAACAAGGGGCCAGCTGGCAAGACGGCTGCAGTTACGTATGTGTGTGTGTCAATGGGGTTAGAAATTGGATGAGATGTATGGACAGGTATGCATTACAGATATCAGTCTTATTGTTATATTCTTACAATAATAATATGTTTTTCTACCGAAAAAAAAGTATATTTGTGTCGAGAGGGGAGAGTTATTGTAATTTGTCCTTGATCAAAAACTTCGTGTATATATATATATATATATATATATATATATATATATATATATATATATATATATATATATATATATATATATATATATATATATATATACGTACTTTGCATTTTTAGTGTAATAGCAACGCTTTCTTTTCAATGAGATGCTGTGCTTTTTTTTTTTAATATTACCGTACGCTAAAAGAAAATCCACGCTGTAAAAAACATTCAGAACGTTGATATCGATGTCACAAGTTAATAGACATATAATAAATTACAGTCTATCCCAATAGCCAATACTTTGACATTTACTTCATTTTAGGTGTCCTCGCTTCAATCCTGGTCCACTGTGCACTTTGGTGACAAAGCCGAATACGTGCTGCCCGGAAGTGAAATGTGGCAATAATTGACAATATTGATCTTGGATCTTTAATGGCGGTTTTAGCATTTTGACATTTATTTGATAATGATTCGGATATTTCATAATTAATAGAATTCATTGCAATCTTTCAATTTGTAATATTATATTGTAATACTTTGGTTATGTACTGAAGAATTATATCTTGTCTGGCAAAATGAAGGTATTTTATAAGTGCTAGTTCTTATACATATGTCATTGGCTATGCCTGTCACCAGTCTTGAGACTAAATGCTAAATTTTCATCTGAACACAAAAAGATGCACATCTAGACTCATAGATCTTAATTCAAAAAATTAACTCTTAATATAAGTTTACAATTATGCATGAAATGTATTTGCATATCACCTGAAATAAAGTCCTTCGTATGAAATAAAACGATGACTTGAATGCAGCATAAATTTTACATTGAATATTAGACGAATTTATTGAAAAAAGGTTTTGTTTCTTCAGTGTAGGTGCGAGGTTCGGGCACCATGGTAGAAGATTTCTTTGATAACAAGGATTATTTTTGTTCATAGCATATCAATTCTAGTGCGTCCACTATAATAACGTTATACGTTACTCATTCATTTTACAATTTTTTTTTCAAAATTTTGCTAATCAGCTCTCTGTGGTCGTAATATATCCATGCTCGGTATCATAATTTATTCAGTTCTGTGGCAACTGTTCCGCGATATTTGGCTTATTCCTACTCAAAATTAGAATAATTAAACTATATATGCAGGCTATAGTTCACCCCAGTCCTTTTCCAAAACAAAACGGGCGGTACGTAGCCTACTGGTTCAACACGGGTTAGGTCGTTCTTACAGGTTCCAAACCACAGCGTGAGGAAAGACTGAACTTACGTTTATGGCATATGCTCAGGGCCCCGCGCGATTTTAAAATCGAATTGTGTTAAAGGTGAAGTCATCGAAAGAAACGTCACACTGAGAATAAAATTGGAGTCATTTGACTCTCTAGTCAGAGTCCAGAACCCCTTGACCCTCATAGAGTTAATTTGACTCCTATATAAGGGTCAAATTACCCCACTACCAGAGTCTTTGGATTCTCTTATAAGAGTCAATCACCCCCTGGCTCTCATGGAGTCAAATTACCGGGGCCAGAATCTGCCTGACTCCTTTCACCGACTCTTTTCGCTCGCTGGACAGTAAACCTCGTTTCAGCCATTGTGATGGCAGTCAGCAGACGGTGTGGAGAGTTTCATCATCCTTTGTAAGTATAAACATTAATTTATTGGACATAGTTGGTATTAAGCATGAACAAGTGGTTTTCCGTTGTTTTTTTTTTTTTTTTTTTTTTTTTTTTTTCATAATGTGCCAAGGAGTCAAAAATTCCTTAATATGGGGTCATGGTGACTCTTTTGAAGAGATATAGCAAGGGATTGAGGGATGTGTGAATGGAATCAATATTGTGACCCTCCTGTGGGGTCTGGGACGGTGTGACTCCATCGGAGTCAACTTGACTCCAAATGGGAGTTATTTTAGGCACCACTGCTGGACTCCAAGTTTGGAGTCACTTGGACTCCGATTTTATTCTCAGTGCAGTGTAGAGGTGACATGATTCTGGGGAATGAACTTTTTATGGTCGATCCGTTTCACTATCCATCCCACTATAAATTTGCCATCTAAAAATACATATCTCTGGTAGGCTTATTTCTCAGCTGACAAACTATAAAATGAGGGCCAATTCTTCGTTGTAAAAATAGAAACAGTTGAAAGTTGCATGGCAACTCAGAGCCGATGAGTAGGCCTATCTCTGTAAGTGTAAGCCGGAGCCTTAGAGCTGTTCTGCTTCCCAAAGTTAACGTTAATCTTTTTCGTTGGGCTCGTTAAAATGCTGATTATTAGTGCTTTTTAAAACTGATGGCAATTTTATCGTGTACTTTGTGATGTTGTGGTGGCTTTTAGATTCAATGGCCGATCGACATGTCAGCAGTCTACGGGATCGACAGATAATATATAGAATGTGAGGAGCTGGCTTTTCTTGAAAAAGTACCCACCACTAGATGGCATTTTGACCTTGACCTTAAAATCTTCTTTGTTATTTTATATCATTTTCGGGTTTTCTGGCTGCTCTGCCACAGGCTTCCCAATGAAAAAATAGGCAGGTTGACCAGGTAATGAGTATGTTATGTTACTTCTATTAATTGTAGTATGCAACAGTAACAGCACGCGGGTCTGATGCGTTGCCACTTGCTGAATACATGCAAAGAGCCGCTCTTCGATCATTTCTCGCGCAATGTATTTACGTGTAGTTGTGGTGGCTAGCTGAATTGTCCGATATAAATAACTGAGATATCCATGTTCCCAACAATTTTGTACATAAACCCCAAAAAATGAGTAGCTCACGTGCTAGAATTATTTTAGTTTGGACTTGCTTCAATGGCCTGATTTTCCCTTACCAGGTAGAGCCCAATGATATCAAGCACCGTCTCCCGCAACTCCATCTGCAATATAACTTTATATGAGCAATGCAAATTTTTAAAAGTAAATGGCAAAGAAAAAAATCTACAGCTGCATTCCTTAGTGCTTAACACCAAATTTATTAAAGGGGATTGTCATGTGATTTTTAAATTTATTTTTGAAATTATTTCATTCATATATATAAATATATTTTACATAGTGATAACAAATTACAAAATGTCTTGGTGCCAGAGACAATTTCCCAGCATATATGCTTACAAAGAATCATGAAATCTATCTTAGCTGTTAAAATGGGCCCATCAACAGGCTATTTAAAAAGAAAATAGATAACACACACACACATGCACACACACACACACTTGAAAAGTATTTTGATAATTAAAAGTATTAGAATAAGTAAATAATTTTGTGGGCCCTCAGTTGGCATACTCTGACTTATAGTTTGTGTGACAGTGTGTCTAGACAGTGACAGATGCACAATGTGCTCTAGGTTCTAGACTTTGGTATTGCCAGCTCGATATTGATTTAGTATATATACCACAGAGAAAGGTATAATGAGCAAGCCAGCTTTTTAGTGCCCTGATACTCAGGGTAGCGCAATGCTGCATAGTGTTAATCACTGTAACACAAACAATTTTTTCATTTTGTTGATTTTAGATGTACAGTATGATGGAGGTTGACTGCTTGCTCATTCAAGGTGTGCCATATGTAGATACCAGCAAGAACTCCCTCCTCTGTTCCAGTGGTTCCTTCTCTGAGGGCCAGACAGCATTAAAGGTGCTAGCACAGTGTAATTTAGTGAGTGAAAATGTCACCTCAACCTATGTCTCCCTCAAAGCATTTTTACTCATGATACTGAAAGATGTGGAGCTAAAGTCATTGGCCAGTCAAGACAGTGAGGTGTATGCTGGTATTCTGGCAGAGGTCTGCAATGTTTACTATGACTATATAATGGAGAGGAGTACCCCCAACCAGGCTGACCACATCACAGTGGACATGGGGACTGGTCATCTGCGGTCAAACCTAGACCAACACAAAGGTCACCATGTCAGTAAACACAATGCTGGTATGACTGTTAAGAATCAACAGCAGAAACAAAATAAGGCAACTCAGAGTGGAACTCCTGTGTTTTTGTCTCCTGATGGTATAGAAAAAAGAAACACAACTGGTGCTAATGACAACAGTGAAAGTGAGACTTCAGTGGATATCACTGTAAAACAAGAGGTTTGTTCTGATGATGAAGATGATGATGTTGTGGTCATTGAAAAAGAAACTGGCCGAGACACCTCATCAGTAACACCTTCAAGATATCAGGTATTTTACATGGGTGCTAAATCTCCATCAAATGATCATGCAAAATCTAGTCGTGTGGATGTCCTTCCATCTCAAAAGGAACTTTCATTAATGGGAATAACTGGAGTATACTCACAGATCCCAGCAGTTCAGCAAATTCCAGTACCACCACCTAGTGTTCAGCACAGTATTGCCTCCCCTCCCCGTCCTATGTCCCTCCTTGATGTTGAAGCCTACACAAACCCTGTAGTAAGTGAGCACCACTTTTCAGTCCCTCACAGGAGTCCACAAGAGGAAACCTCCCAGCACATTGCCACCAGCGGTAACAAGTTCACCAGGCAACTAGAGCTTTGTGATCCCAATAAAAGAAATGAGTGCCATGAGTATGTGTGTAGTGTTTGTAGCCAGACTTTATCCTCGTATGATGATTATGTCCAGCATGCATCTCAGCACACAAACTTACCTCCAGTCAATGCTGGAGTTGCTGTAGCTGGACAAACGAATTGGCACAGGCCAAAGACTCCTCCTCCTTCTGTGCAACAGCAGCAGCAGCAACAACTTGTACAAAAACAGCAAGTTCGGACACCAAAGCAACAACAACAAGAGCAGCAAACCAGTGCAATCCAAACTAAAACTAAATTTAAGTCTAGTGGCATTAGTTCTGCTTCCAGATCCAGCAGTGTGCTCAGTATAGGGATAAATCAGCCTAGGGTAGCATCATTCTCCAACAACAGGGGAAGGAGTGTGAAAAAACACAACTGTCCCATATGTGGTAAATATTTCTGCACCACCAGTGGCCTTGTTACTCATATCCGCACCCACACTGGGGAGAAACCATTTGTATGTTCGTTTTGTAATAAACGCTTCAATGATCGCTGCAATGTGAAAAGACATGAACGTATCCACACTGGGAACACGCAGACTCTCTGCCCAGTGTGTAAGAAAAAGTTTCGTACTGTGAAAGAACTGCGGCAGCACATGGCTATGAGTCATCCTCCATTTCCAGCAGTCATGGATACAGCTGATACTAAAATTACCAGCCCAAACAAACTTTAACATGTCACATAGCTTTTGGATATTGTCAGGACAATCAAAATATTTGTTTACATGTTATCTATTTTAATGATTAATATTAAGTTATATAAATATGAGTTAGAAGATGATTTCAGAAAAATATTCTTAATGGTTTTTTTATTGGTGATTATATTATGTACAGACTCTTGTTTCTACACATTAGATTATTACAATTCTAAGTTTCAATTAATGCCATTTCCTATTGGCGTGGTAACATGGAATTGGAGTCATTTTGTTTTAGTTTTGACCTGTTAGAGGAAACAATGAGGCAAAAATGTAGCTCAAGTTCAGTTTGTCAATGGCCTTGATTGAATGGTGTTTTTTTACTTCTAATTTTAAGTATGTATTTTTGCCATGATAGCCCCATTTGAACACTAAAATGGGGCAAGTGAAATTACATTTTCTGTCAAACTTGCTGGATTTATTTGTCAAACTTGATGGATTCATTTGTGGAGTTATTATTTTAGGAAAATGCCAAAAGTATTATTATAGCTTAACTAGCTTAGTTTCAAAGGCACCATGTTGTTTTTAAACTTTTATCAAGAAAAATGTCTCTATACTAAATTGAGCCTAAAAGAAAAAATAATTTAAATTTTTCTTGAATAATTTGTTTGTATTGACATGGTCAGCAGTTGAAATCCACATCATCCAAATTTTATTTATTTATTTATTCATTTGTATGCATGTGTTTTTGCATGTATTTTTGTACTACATATAACACAACTGATGAGTTATTAACAAGTCCCCAATAATTCCCCCTCTCCCCTTCCCCCTTAAACCCCCAGCAGTGATATGTACTCCAAATCCAGCCTAAACTGATTGGACGTTATACATTGTTACAGCCTCCTTATTTAGTAAGATCGTTTCATTATGTTTTATTAATGTAAAACATTGATTCATTTATATAATTTGAGTTATTTGTTATCCGTTCAGCTTTGATCCAGGTTGTACAGGTGTGTACAATTGACAGTTTTACCTCCTTTGTTTTTATTTAAGAGATTTAAAATATTTAATAAGATCTATATGTAATTGCATATCATATTTTGAGACTTGCAACAGTTAGACTTTTTGTCGGCGTCCAAAAATCAACCGAAGCAAAGCAAATTATGAAAATTCAAAGCCGTTGCAACAGCGTTTAAAACCGTCTGTTGTTTCAAAGTTCCTAACTTAGTTGGTGATTATAGGAAACGAAAATTATCGCAATTTTATTAATTTCAGACATATCTTTTTCTTAAGTCTGTATTTGATATTAATCCTTTCTTAAGAAATTATTAGTACTGTACAGTAATTAATAAATTCTGGAATGTTATGTGCATGTTTGTTTATACATTGTATGCTACATAAAGAAATATTTGCATGCATCTGCACTGCATATATTTTATACACATTTCATTGTCTGTTTCTACTTCGCACTTCCATATATAACTTTCGCATTTTCATTCAATAAAGATTCAAACCAGTTCATATGCATCTAATTTGTATTCCAAATTATTTCCCTTTTATTAACGTAAATTTGATTCAGGTAGTGTGGAAAGATAAATGTTGCCTTTCACAAGGTAAGAGGTCCCTTCCTATGGGATTCTATTTATAAAATGCACGTTTTGAAGTTGACCAACAGTTGTAAAAATTGGACCGTATAACACGCAGCTCAAATGGTGGACTATTCTAACTCCCTTCCCACACACGCTTATGTAGAAAGTAAATCATGACATTTAGAACAGCAAAAATAAAGCTTTCGATCGGACTTTTTTTAATTCACATTTTACACCAAGTTCCTTTACAGGATAGGAAAGACTCGGTTCATGCTGACGTGCTCCTAGCCCACTTCACCATCCTTTCTTTGTCTCCCCTTTCATGCGGAGCTTTACGGAGGAGTTACGAATTCGGTGCAGTTATCTCTACAATGCATTACATAAAACTGATCAACAGGTACAAGTTCGTTGCAAAGGTTTTCAGTGGCATTGGGGATTTAACTTTGTTCTGTAACACCATTCTAAGTAAAACTGGAAAAGCACTCCGAGAGCGCAGACCTCCGCCAAGGCAGCGATTTTTGATTATTATTGATTATTGATCCGGATCACCACCAAAAACTAATCTCTTCCTTGGCCCACTTCTGACAGTTCTGAAAATTTCATCAAAATCGGTCCATAACTTATGTTATGTTGATGACAAACAAACAGACAAACAGGGGTGAAAACATAACCTCCTTGGCGGAGGTAATAATTTAAAATTTAAAGAAGCTGAATTTCCTATATTTTGGTTTATTTTCTATTGCATGATTCAAGTCCCTATCGTTCTATAGAACAGAGCTCATTGATGAGGCAAGAAAAAATTTCATAAATTAAAAACAGAGATTAAAAAAAAACAGACATCTAATACATTTCATAAGCGTTAAGAAATATCTCGCTTACAGAAAGAAATTCTACACTAGGACAGTTTATAAATAGTTGGCAGAGTTGTTGTCCTTAGATAATACGCATATTCATATAAAATTTCATTCAATAAATATCACCGGTGTGCTTTAAGATGAGTGTTCATGACATGGTAACTGTTGCCCTGTAGGCTAAAGTATACGTTTTACAAAAATGTTAAACAGGAGAAGCGACTGTACAGTGGAAACAACAACCCCTGTTACAGTTAAATGTTGTGTTATGTAGGATATGTAGCATATTTAGCTCTTTACATAATTCCAGATTATACTGCACTTTCTAATCTGAAGTTGAGGATCTCATGTTTAACAAACCAGCCAAAGCTGACAAGTATACAGACCAGTACAAACAAAGTGAAATGGTAGGGCTTACAACAGTTCTGAGTTTAGATACTTAAAAAAGCAATTTACAGGAAATATATATTTCCTTCACGAAAAATGAAATGAATTGGAAATACCCGTATCGCAAATAAAAATCTAAATTACATTGTGACATTAAATATAATATATTATATGATTGTCTCTTTTTCCTAATTCTTCAATCAAATCTGTTGCTCTTTCGTTTTAAATCGTGTAGGTAGACCATGCACAGGTTTAGGCGTGGGGAAATGCGAGAACACGGGGTCTTCTTCTGCAAGTTGCCAATCTGTCGTCGTAACCAGTTCCGCTGCAAGTATTTTCAAGACTACGCGAGCAAAGTCCCGCCCAATACAGTGTCGTCTGCCACCTCCAAATGGAAAGAAATCAAACGGTTTGTCCTTAGCAGGGTTGTCCTCCCACATATCTGGATCGAATATTTTACTGTCAGAAAACAATGGCGACTGGTGTTGAGTCTGGCGAATGCTGTAAACCAGTGACCAACCTTTCGGAATTTGGTATCCCTGGAAAAACCAATAATAAAATTATCAATATCCAATATTTCGTTGGGAATCTGGTCAGTTTCTTCAGGGAATAGTGTACAATATTAGACAAAAATTATCATTTTACTTGCAATTTATCTTCAGCAATTTATTATTCTTAATATCATTTTCCAAACTTTTGACATTATAAAAGAAGACGCAACGTCATTTCTAGAGCATTCAAGGCAGAGATGTCTGGAAGAAACATCTACTGCATGATGTTTTGATATACCTTTTCACTTAAAATACAACTCAAATAAAGCCATAACCCTTACATCAAGCTCAAATGTTTTCAGCACTTTTCTAAAAGCACCTCCCGCTGGAGGCACTAGCCTCAGAACTTCGTTCACCACGTGGTCCAGGTATTTGACGCATGTCACTCGGTCAAGGTCTGTCACAGTTGCATCGCGAGTCCACCCGTGCTGGATGAGTTCTGCGTGGAGCTTTTTTCTTGCCAGAGGATTTTCATGAAGAAGATAGATAAGGCTACAAGCTGCACTCGCTGTCGTATGATGCCCAGCAAACATCATTTCCACCGCAGAATCCTGTAAAAATTGACAAAATAAAGAAACATTGAAGAAGATATAAGTACAATATCAATCATCTTCTCACGGATTTCTGGAAGAAGAATTAAGGCATATTGCAATACACTTTTCTGAACCCGAGAACGTATTTTATTTAATTTAATAAGACCTCTTAAACGGAGGGGCAGGGTACTGAATTCGGTATTTAATTTTTAAAAGGGGAAGGTGGACGCTGGTCTTCTTTGGTTCTGCTTATGTTCATGTGCTATGGGGAATCTGAATGATGCGGTTTATCATAACTGATATTGTACTCATTTTTTCGCTCTCATTAGCGAAAAATTATAGTAAAGATTAACAAAAGTGGTAAAACGTAGTATCTTTCACAGAAGGACTAATTTTGTACTTTCTCATAAAACATAAATATAGTGAGTATATTAAGATATATTACTTTTAACTCTTGGATGTAGATATCATCTTTCGCGTCCAGAAGATAGGCGTTGATCATACGGTCAAGCGCGTCAATGTACGGCCGTTTACATCCCCAGTCAGCCAAAGACTTGTCAAGCTTTTTACGGATGTGGGCGTCAAGCGCACGGTCTAATCTTTTCCTTGCTCGAAGTCCCTAAATAATGATGAAATATAGATGGTATTCATAACGTCTTTGAGCGACATACTACTAAATGAAAGAGACAGAGATACGCCCTGAAATGAAAAATTTCAATTCTGAAAAAAAAAAAGTTTTTCAAACTATTCTCTCCAGGGACTCGGGGTCAATACAGCAGCAACCTCTAGCTATTATGATGATGCTGACATTCTATAAAACAAGACTTCTGAGTCAGGATGTGAGAGACGGAATAACATATAGTTGTAATAAAATTAGACAAAATATTGGATGAAAGTATTCAGACACAAATTCGTCTTGATAAGCATATGCTGTACAAAATTGGTTGGTTTATGTAAATGACAAAAAAAAAAAAAAAAAAAAAAAAAAAAAAAAAACGCTAAGTTACACACTATTTCCACACTATTTCCACACCTGACCAAAGTATTCGGTGCATTTATTTTACGGTTTTTGATACCGCACTTGATATAAATATATACAGCAGTGTTCAGCAGTCTACAACCCCCACTGCACTGCTCGGATGACTGCTTATGGGGGATGGCACAGTTATCACCGAGTTATCAGTACATGTACAAACCATTCAGAACTTAGTTTTGGCAGAAAAATTAGCAATGCCCTTTTATTGGAGCCGAGTAGACAGGAGAACCCATGGACAACCAACGCACTCGAGTATGTCCGGGTCAGAAGAGATGGACGAGTTATTTGAGCTGGTGCGTAAAAAGTTGTTATCACAAATAAGTCACCGCCTTGTATCTTAGGTTTGTTAAAAAGCTAACAATTTTGTTATTTTTTTTAATGAAGTGAGCGAATAGGAGCGAGTATGTTTAGACCTTTTACAGTATTATCAATTCAACTACAATGCTTCGGTGAGCGAATTTTGGCGAGATGAGCAATCAAACGTGCATATGTGCCTTATATCTGAATGGCGATCAAGATACTCTACTAAATTGACAGATGTAAATAGGCTAATTGAAGGTCATATAAACTGAAATATACGTTTTAGCAAGCATTTGCGACGGACTTAAGTCTTGACATTTTCAACTACTAGGCAGACTTTAACTTTAGATCACGAACTCTAGTAGCTTCGCATTCAATATAATATTGGGAATGAATATGAAGAATCTGTAAAAAGCAATCATAAAAGAAATGTTTAGTGACAAAATAAACCAACATGTTAGCCCAGAAGTGGGAATCTGCATTCAGTGCGTTTTACAATTTCAGCTTTTTGGAATGAAGTTTATTTATCTGAAGTTTTTCACTGATAAACCATGAAAATACACTCCCTTTTAATTATTATAGACATTATAAGAGCAGTGCTGATATCAAGCAGAAACAATGACACCAAGGTTTCGACAGAGTGTATTATTGGTTAAACCATTGTACAAATACCAAGGTTAATTTTAAACCAACAGTGACGTCATACAGCTTCAGGAGTTCTTGAAAAGATCACATATTAACTATACACCTGAAAGAGATCTTGAAAAGCGCGTATTTCTTCAACTGAAAAAGGTCACACGAGTAACCTTCTTTCTTAATTATTTCATCATTAAATATTTAATTTCACTTACACTTGAGTGCAAAGCACATAATAGTACGGCGTACAGTGTAAACTGAAGATATCCTCCATTGTATCAACATAATTGTATAATTGTATTGATAATATTAATCTTCGATAGCACAAGCGACACCTACCTTCCACAAGCCAAAGCCAGGGATACTGACAGGTAGAGAAAATATATTGTCCACCACTGTCTCTAGGTCAGAGAGAAGATTTGTCAGGGTGTTGTCGTCACATTGTAAACCGACTAACAACTAGAAGTATGTAAGAAATTAAATGTGAAAATTATTTTCCGAAAAAGCTAAGTAGGTGAATTAAAAGCGAGCAAGACTCTGTTGAAGCAGATTATGAACGCGATTTAACAGATTTTAATCACAATTTTGGCTACACATCTTCGTGTTTAACTTTTTTTCTGTCAATGAAAAGTCAACGTACGAATCTTCCTACTTTAATTAGTGTTTTCATTATTAACCCTCCAATTCTGATCCAAGACCAATGAAACTATACTTCTCTTCTGTTCTTACAAAACACTGTATAATTTCTGCCAATTATGTTTGCGATATCTTGTGTATGGCTGTTATTTTTTCAAACTAATCCAGTTTTAAAGTCTTAAATATAGCTTTTTCCATCACATAATGCTAACTGAAGAATAACAAAGCTTTCTTAATCGTAAAAAATTGAATTATTTACGTGAAATCACTGCAGGTCAACAACTGGTCAAAAGTTAATTTTATGTTGTGAATCAGCTTGAAATCTTTTTAAGTCACCGGATATCTGCAGGGGACATACCTCCGTTCCAATCGCAAAAGAAAGTCGTTTGCATTCAGGGTACACAAGCACCTCGTCCTTGACACACCAGTCCTGCAGAGCGCCCCGCACAATCCTCTGGATCTGCTGGACGTAGGTGCCCATTGCCTTCGGACTGAACGCCTTCATAACGACCATTCGCTTTTGCCTGTGTACGTCCCCTACGCTATTGTGTAACGCCCCTGGTCCGAAAAGACGGTAAGTGCTCTTGGGCCAGTGGGTGGTGACCAAATTGTTCTCTGCGCGCAAAATGATCGCCACATTCTCAGAGCCAATCACTCTTATCGTATTAGCTGCTAAAATGTTGGTCTTGAATACATTGCCGTGTCGACGTTGTTTTTCTTCGTAAAATTTTTCTTTCTAGAAATAAGAAAAAATAAAATATGAAACGAAAATAATACCTCCTGAGTTTCAAATTTGCTAGTTATTTTCATACCTCGCGGAAACTCAAATATATATATTACTTTTAATTTCGTTCCATTTGGAACAGTAAATATGTCTACTTACTTTCAACATCAACTGAATGGTCTCTCCCAGGAAGGGCATACCCATCGCACCCGGGGGCAGGGGGAGGGGGCAGAGAGGGTCTCCTTGGCGGCCATATGTGAACCTTTGGTATAAATATACCACGAAACACACCACGGCTGCCAAGATTAATACCTCTGTCGTGCATGCATTTCTGAAGTAAAAGGTCTTAAAATGTAATCTGTAAAAACGAAGATAGTCGTGGGCGACTGCATGGAGTTTTCGTTGCAATATGTTCGCAGACAGAAAGCATTGATTTGTTTGACATTAATCCATGGGGCGAACAGTAGTCAAGTTGGGCATGGTTTGTTAATCCTAATACGAGTATTTTTAATAACAATTTATATCAAGACATCGTTCGTAATACATTGTACACTACTAATTCAGTTTAATACTTAAAACAGTGACTTATTTTTTTCACGTCAAAATGCTTGTAATTTTCCCTTATTTGTAAATTGTTTTGCGCTTGCCTACTACCGTGTAAGTTGTTTTTATGTCACTGAAGCGTGAAGGGAAAAACTTCTTACACGAAGTTTTCTGCGGTGCGCCTTCTTCAAGGTATTTGTTACTTTCAGACAAAAGATCTGATAGCTTAATGCATTTATTGTCTTAAAAGCTACTCTAAGATGAAAAATTGAAATGTTATGCAAATGTTGATATAACCATTAATACTTTCTATTTATCAGCATGAATTATGTGAATCTAAAACCAAGTTGGGTATAAATTCATGAAAATTAGTTGCATTAAAACCAGCATGTTGTAAAGTAGCAAAATTTCACTTTTACATACAGATGCTGTTACCTTCCCCTCTCCTTTCTAACTAAATGAAGTGACACCAAATTTTTACTTCAAAACAATAGTTTTCGTATTAAAAATAATGCTTAAATGTGTCATTTAAAATAATTATGTATTACTGGCAAAAACCAACAGCTTATTTAACCTCGTCTTCAATGGTTTAATACCCTTACTCTTTTTCTGTTCAATGTGATCGATGCCCAATCAATTAATCAAATCATCTCATTAATATGCATAATATCTCATTAATGCTCTAAAATTTGAAGGGAGAACGCACTTTGACAATATTCCCTGCATGGGGAAATCACACTTGAAAAAGAAAAAAAGAAGACAGTGCTGTTAGACTTACCCCCACATGTTTATTTGCCTCGCACTCTCTGTGGTCACTTTGCTCTCTGCGGCTGTCCTCTGAGCGACCCCTCATTACACATTTTGTCCCGATCGAGTCAGCGCGTGCATTGTGCTCCCCACGTCAAATATTTCTTACGTAATTAACTCCCAGTGCACTGGCAACTACTGCAGGGCCTGATTGCTGGGTTAATTCATGCGATTTCAATGAAAACAATTAAAATTGCATGCACTTAATGACTAAGATATTTATTTCTGGTTACTTTTGATGTCTTTCATTGACAGAAGGATGCAGGACAGTCATCGATGGCATAGTTTTCATACACTTTTAGATCAAGGTTAAGTTCCTGGTCCATATTCAAATAGTCATTCCACACCCTTTTTTATGTCTCATCATCATCAATTAAAATAATTCAATTTTTGAAAGAGAATAAATTTTGAACTTTTAAAGCGGCCCCTGACACAGCATGTAACCCAGTTCACGAGGGTCAAAATCGCTGTTGCATTACCGAATATATCATGCGTTATGTAATTCCAGGGGCATATAGGGGTCAGTGTCAGATTCACTATTAAACCGTTTGATTGTAAGTATAAGCTTTTATGAATACAGCAAAGCTGGGTAATAATTTCATTTATGACCGCTTTTCTTAAAATAGACAAAGGCGTTTTATGACATAACTATGATCGGTGAAGTATGACTGGTGGAGGGGAACATGCTGAGCTGTTGTTGGTGACCGATGGAGATGTATCAAGGTCAACATGATAGTAGTGACCTGTGCTTTTTTGTGCTTTTTGTGCTTTTTTGGGGGTTTGTATACCAATTTTTTAAGAACTACTGAAATATTTGACTTTTAAAAAGTGAGCGCCTGCAACATGCAATTTCATTTTTTTATTCGTTCTCTTTTGGTCTTCTATTCTGTATTTTTAGTCAAGGGCGATGAATAGCCAAATTCGTGCATACATGCTTGCAATAAAAGTAAGGGTTAAATTTTTGTGACTAATCATTTTGATATGATTACCTTTTAAAATTACCTTTAAACCTAGGTCAAGAGACGGGCTAAAAAATACTAGACCACATAAGAACACTTAGCATCTGGTATTTACTTCCTCGTTACACTTAAAACAAGAACAAACTGCCTAAATGGGCTAAACAAAATACCTGTACACAACGGGTATTTGTTTATAGACTTTTAAGGAATTCAGTTTTATTAGAAAGAAACAGCAATAAACACGTTTTTATTCTATATCTTTGTAATCTACTGTCACGGTAATAGGCACGCTTGAACCTTACGGTTTATCCAAGAATTAGTATGGATTTTTCTCCATAGGCTTGTACACACGTGCAAAAAAAACAACACGTGCTATGTTACGTTCCAATCTGTCTCACTTGCGCGTGGTCACTATTCAAGGCCGACGTTTTGCAATTTCTGCGAACTGGTCAAGCGGATTGGGCAGACGGCTGACCTGCGGTTCACCTCACTGTGTACGGCCACCCTCCTTGGCCTGTTTACCTAGGCTTGAACTTGTGACAGGTTTTTATCTATTGGTCAGTAACGCACTCTGAACCATTATGTATATGTGGGTTTGCTTTTACGCCCGAAACTTGACCAATCACGAAAATGATTGACCCGTTACCGAACCGTGGATTCAGTGTGGATTAACATCAAACTTAGTGTATTGACACTACTTATGCAAGTCTTGATCTCTTTCTACGCCTTTGTCACCCCTAACCCCATTCACCGTCTACAACCCGTACGCGTATTCTCCTTAGGTTTTCCCGCTCTCTTTCCATTCAATGCCCAACCACAGATCTGCGGCTCAAAGTCACAAAAGGTTATTTCGTTTGTAAGGGTTGCACCCTTTGTGGGGCGTCTGACTTTATAGCCCAATGTATATTTCAGACTATTTTCCATAAGTTTAGTTGCTGTTATACTTACATTTTTATCTAATCATCTTGCTTAACGTATTTGCAATTACAATTTTTTTTTTTTTGCTTTTTGATGCAATTCCCATAATTCGTGCTGTATTTACTCCAGTGTATAACCGTCTACTGTATATTTGAACAGTTTGTTTAGTTTTTATAATAAATATTGAAAACACGCGATTTTCATCAGTCTCAGTGAGTCACTATTAACTTTAGGCTGGCCAGCACGTAGGTTTCAAAGGTCTGTCGAAAAGATGCTGTCCTTGCACTGATCGTAGTGGAAACATTGATCACTAAGGAATATTTTGTTCGCAGGAAAACAATGATGTATTAATTTAAAGAGACAATTTGATAATTTAAAATATATTTATTATTCGCTCTCTGTGTACTTATAAGACAATGTGCTGTTAAGAAAAGAGGAGGAAACGCACTTCACAAGTTTCAGTTTCACCCAACCACCATCCTGACCTTATATTTCCAACCTGCTGGAGACCCCGTTGTGGCGAGATGAGATCTTTTACAGTTGAAAGCGTTCTAATTTCTCTTCTTTGCTCTTAACAAACCCAAGTTACTGATAGAAGAACATTTCAAAACATGCCACACTATTGCCCAAGATTTGTAAATAAAATACTGGCTTACATGTAGCGTAATTTTGTCATCTCATCACGGATTTATTTCGTCGCAAGGCAAAAGATGTGGCTTTTTAATGTTAAGCCAGTACTGGTAAATTGAGGAACATTAATTCTTTTCATCAAGTGCCCTTTCTTAAGGTTAAACAACTTTTTTCGAGGGAGTTTCAAAGAGTATCAAAAACAATGTTGCTTCAAACAGTTTTAATTATTTTCTAAACACAATAGCATAGCATACATGAAAATTGGAGATATGACACAGCTGTAAATGCCAGTTCAAGAAATATAATATATATTACTACTATCTTACGAATATGGATGGCAGCAGTATGCAATAACACATGCATCAGCAGTAGCATAACTCTTTTAACATACCCCCCCCCCCCAAAAAAAAAAAAAAAAAAAAAAACTAGTTGAGGCTCCAGTCCACACAATGTACATAAACAAATGGATAGTTCATTTCCAGCTCCAACAATTGTACTTATATACAGGAATTCATCAAAAAAGGATTTCAACAGATAAAACATCAACAATTTGACATTGAGATTTAAATGCTATACATCCACATTATTTTTTATTCTTCATATAATCAAAAATAATCTTAGTGCATGAATATCAGACTCTTTCAATTCTTTGATTCTTAATTAATAACAGTTTGTGATTTAATTTGTTCTGCATTAAGACAAGCACATATATATCGCATCTCCTACCAAAGAAAAAAAATTGAAAACTATAAGTTGCTAATTTGGAATTCCATTGCCACCAGTTCATATACTGTTTTCATTCACATTTGTGTTACTACACAATAAATGACTATAGAGAGTTTAATGAAATTAAGAAATTCCAAATAAAAAAGCTGAAAAAAGTGACACTTAGTTTGTAATAAGATATCAGTATGTACCTTATGAAGATATCTTGCTATGATCAAATTATTAATACTTCAAAATAGTTCCTACAATCCTTTTTTTAACTTATATAATTTACTCTTTATATTTCATTATGTTACATTAATAATTTATACACTAAACTAAAAACTAAATTCCTCCTGGAATGTAATGAACAATTCAAGTTCAACAAACTTAGACATCATTATTTCACCCACAACTAGTATATAATTGATCTTATACCGGTGCGTGCACAATAACAGCTATGAAAATACACCTTTCCCACCTAATAAAAGGTCTAAAATTGCACTTGCAAATATCACCACATACTTATTCCACATCATATAAATTTGTATTGTAATGTTTAAAATGACTCATTGGGCACTGAGGATTCAGCTTTGTTTGTCCTCCCTTCTTAACTGCAATCCTCCTTCCCTTGTTCCATTAGCACCTTCAGTTGGTGGCGTGCACTCTCCAGAAAAATATCCATGGTTGCCAGAGATTTCTGCCTTAGTGCACTGTCAGCCTGGAACACGTTGAGCTTGCATAAGTTTATTTTTTAAGAAACTCTCTATGGCCATTAACTGGAATTCTTGGGAGTGAGTATGGCACTGGTGGGTGTCACATGCCCTACTTCACATAGGATTTTTATAAAAATGTGCTGATTGAATACTTTTGAACTATACTTGTGTATCCTATGTGAAGTGAAGCATGTTCTTCTATATAATGTATAAAAATGTTAATTTTCTTTTAATTATCAACTCCATTTATTCCATTCCTTATAGGCCATGAAAAAAACTGAATATTCTTCATTTCTCTTTTGAAACAACTTACTTGTTTCTGATCAGTAAAATGCCTCTGCAGATCTTCACTCATATCTTCACGCATGGCTTTTGCTGTCTTTTCCCAAGTCTGTCGTTCTTCTTCCAAGCACTTTTTCAAAAATTCCTGATTCAGAAATATTCGGTATAGGTTGTCATATGCTTGAGACATTCAGTTAATATTTTCATTCACTGAGAAGCAAAATATTAGGATAAAAAAGAAACTTTTTTATTGTCAGTGAGTTTGCTTGATTCAACTAATTCCATTCCTTTAAAGCCATTAAATGTTGAAATGTGAACACATTAATATGTCACTTTCCACTTTCTGTATATTGTGCTTACATATAAAGATGTAGAAAAATACGTAGGGCTAAAACCATTTTTTCAAGTAAAATTTTGAATTTTTTAAATTATTCTACAGAAACTGAGGTACAGTTCTTTTTTACATATTCTTTGACTTTGTGAATCACTTAGCGAAATTACAAGTTCATTTTCTAATGTTTGTACCTTGCTACTTTGTCTTTCTTTTTCCAGCTCCATTCCCAATGTTTCTGAACTTTTTGTCTGCTCTTCTTTCATCAAAACAGACATTTTTTCCTGAAAGTAAATATGAATTATTGGTATATATTAGTCTCAAATTTTATGCCTTTAAACAAAGGATCATATTACATAAAATGCTTATTTCAAAACATAAATTTCTCATGATCTCCACATATAAGTTAGTGTTCATACCCTTTCTTCTTCAAGAAGCTGGGTTGTCCTCACACTCTCTGCTTTTACTGCTTCCATTATAGCTTTTTCACAAGCACATTGCTCTTCCTTAAAAAAAGAATAGATTACCATGTAAAAAACAGCTATTTCAAAAGGCCAGGAGGTTCTTTTTCTGTTCAAGTGAACCTTTTACCATGAAACCTTTGTGCATCTACATCAAATTTGACCCAGAGTGGACCTTTTCCCAGCAAAAAAGGTAGTTTATTCGAACCCCAACTGCCTGGTTATGAGCCTGTAACAGTATTATTTAAAATATCTTGAGATGATTTTAATTTCATCAGTAGTTTAGTATTCAGATATTAAACTATGCTCAAACAAACTGACTGAACCTTAAAAGAAGACATCTTTACCTTTCCTTTCCAAAAAAGGTTATTTTAGGATGCCAGTAACATTCCTTAATGTTAAACAATAATATTATATTTACATGGGAAACTTAAACTAAAATGTAGAAAAATCCTTTTATGTTAGTCTATATATTCACTGTTATGTTACCTAGTAAAGCCAAGCTCACCTTCACAGCCTTCTGAACAGCTAAACGACTCTTCTCCCTTTCCTCTTCTAGTGCAGTCTCCAGTAGCTGCTGCATTATGAGAAGAGACAGTGATTCAGAATGCTTTATTAACTGAGTTTTAAAATTACGAAAAATGTGATGGATTACTTATCCCATATAAACCTTTTCTTCATTACCTTACAAAGATATATTAGAAGTTACTCCGAGAAGTGCCCCTTATTGAATTTATATAATCGTGACTAACTGTAACAAATGAACATGAATATGGAAAATAAAAGTAGAATAAGCACAACCATTTCTTTCCACAACTTAAAGTGCAAGTCTTTAATTACTATGTGACGTTTACTTTGTGAAGTTGGTTCTGGCACATTTTCTGTTGTCATCCAACCGAATTCTTGTAAATGTACCTGGAATCTTTGTCTTTCTTCTTCCAAAGCCTCTTTGGCTTGCTGTTTCATCTCTTCTTTAGCATCAGCCAACAGTTTATTCATATCTGCTTGCTAAAATCACAATGTTTTTTTTCCAAATTGAATCAAAATATCTTTTTGCATTGAGAATTTCAGTTCACATATACATGTCCATTACACTGCAGCCATGCTTGATTAATACAGGGTATGTTTTATAAAAATAATTACAGTTATTTATGATAAAACAGCTATTACATGACAAATGAATATTTGAGATCTCTTTCTTTCTTTTTATCTGAGTTATGGTGACTTATGAACACTAAAAATGGCAAAAACAAATTACTTGGCCTTTCATGATTTCCTGGCAACTTTCACTTTCTCTCTTCAGTACTTCTTTAATTTGTTCCTGTGCTGCCACCTGTTGTTCACATACTGCAGTCTTACTTAATTCCTGGAATGTAACCAATTTAATCTGTATCTGTTTAAATACACCAGACTAACCACTTCTTGCACATGACTGATGAGTAATAAATCTATATCAATTTGGTTTTTAACTTAAAAGGCTTCTTTTAAATGAAATGAATGCATTTTTATCAGATACCAAAAATACAGTAATTAATGTGCACCATTAGACTTAAAAAAGTTTAATCATTTATAACAAGTCAAAGAATTTTAACAAATACCTTGTATTCTTCTACTACCACAGCAAGGGCAGCATGACCAGCCTTTCTCAAATCCTCTAATGAGCTCTCATGGCTAACCTAGGATAACATCCACAAGTTTGTTTATCGATTAATCTATTTTATTATTTTGCAATTTCATTTTGCACTCTTGTCTGACAATCTCAACACAAAATGAATACCAAAATTATTTTTAAGAACAGTATTCTGCATTTATGACTTTGCTATTCAGCTGTTCTCAATTTTAATTCACAGGTGTTAGATCAACACATTGCCAGTTAAAAAGTTACCAACCTGCATTTCTTCGTACTTTTTCTTTAGTGTTTCAAGTTTTTCTCTATTTTCTTCCAGCTGTTGCTCTAGTTGCTGCTTGTTGTGCAATAAAGTTTCAAGCTCCTTTTAAAAAAGAAAATAGTATCATAAAAAAAAATACCAGAGGTATTAAGCAAAAACAAAACAAAACAAAATGTAAAAAAATATAACAAGGAGAGTATTTCATCAACTGATAAATCTAAAACATTTTCATAAAACTTCCTCAAATAAAATGGAAGATGATAAAAAGAGTATATTCCAATACCATTTGAATATTTCACATGCAGCCAAGGTTTTTGATGGAAGGGTGCTTTCCTACCAGAACATCACCCACCTGTTTCAATTCCATTTTCTCTTGTTCAGATGAGCTGAGAGCTTCCTGTAACTGCTTCACTTCCTGCACATCTACATTTGAGTCCTTAGCTCCACCTCCCCCAGTCCCTACATCACTGCCTCTCACACTCTGCCCTTTAGCATCCACTGAGTTAGCGTCTACATGGTTGCTTGCATTATAGCTGTCTTTTTGTGCACCCTGTTCCAAGTCAGACACCACACATTGACTTGTAGATTGTGAAGGCTCAGAGGTTGAAGAGGTTGTGCTCCTATGACTCACTTGCTGAACTTGAGCAAGATCTGGAGTTACCTCTCCTCCTGCAGTCACATTTTGTTGGAGGGAAGATGAAGAGTCAACCTGTTCATTTTCTATATTCCTTGGAATAACTTCAGGCTACAATTGGTAGGAATACAATAAACAGAAGTAGTGGGTCAGTGAGTTATACTGGACACAGTTGGCACTTTCTTTGCATTTTACCTAACGTGCAAATGTTTTTATGTACTGGAAAATAAGAGAATTAATACCACATTAATAAGACTCTTTGGATTTTTCTTTCCTAGTCCAATTTTAATATACATACCTGAGCAGCTAAATCATGATTTTGCAGGTCAAAATTTCCCTGAAACTGAGGTTGATCAAAATTTGCTTGAAATAATGGTTCATTTTGCTGTTCTTCACTCTGTGGAGGCTTTGTGTCTTGTTCTGAAGAGAGTCCCTTTGATGCTGGGGGTTGAATGAGATCAGGCTGGTTCCCTGCTGCAGTTGACACTAAAACAGAGTTTGAATATAATTAATATTCATTGACTAATTTTCACAATCAGAGTTTGTTTTACAAAAAATGATCAGAAAAGGTAAATATGATAATTACGCTTCACCCTGTCAATAGAAACCTAAATGAAGGAATGAATAAAATTATGTTTATGCCATTAAAATCACATGTAATTAGCTGTCCAATAATGTATGAAGAACAGAGCATCTATTTTTTCCATGAACACCTTAAGCAATACTGACACAATAATCAAATATACATTGTGTTCACATAAGTAAATAAATTAATGAAAATAAATAAATAAATATGTTAACAAACTGAAGATGCCACCAGAAGACCAAATTTCAAAGGGTCCCTATTCACCATTTTAAAACGCCAATTATAACAGCAATCTGGAGTTCTGATGATGACATTATTCTTTTCAGTCTAAGTTTTATCTGGTGTGAACATGGCCGTGTATTACACACTGAATACCTGCAGTGAGAAAAGCCCATGGCACAGCTGTGGCTGGTAACCCTTGCACTGGTTGTGCTATCTGAGGTTCTACAGGTTCAGCAGCCTACAACAAAGCATGGAATCTCATATGGTTAAACTGATATAACTTCATAATTCTTAACAGCATTTGAGCAAAAAGCTTAAAACTTTTATTTGAATTTGAACTACTGTAGCTGAAAAAGTGGTGTATTTTCATATTCTTCAAATGATGCTCTTCAATAAAAGAATCAATCATATTCCATATAGTGCTGTTATAAAAGAATTTAATGCAAAACATGTAAATAAAGAATGTCATATACATATTGTAAAGACAGCCACTAAAGAGGAATTAGTAAGAAATACCATAAGAATCAGGAGATTGACTTGTACCTCAAATCCTCCAAAATCTTCAAAGTCATCCTCATCATCTGCCATGCTGTCTGTTTAAATATACTGTAGCTGTTCTGTAAATGAGGTAAAAATAATAAATAAAAAAACATCACTAAGAAAGTAAAACCATGCCATAAAACAAGTGTTTCTTGGTCATCAAATAGTTGAACTTTTCTGTCTCTAGAACTCCTACTTATATTTTCTGCATAAAGTAATATTAAAATGTTATAAAGTCAGAGTTGAAACCAGATAAGATGACCTGCATTAGCTGGTAATGAAAATAATTTTTACCTTAACTTTACCCCTATTTTTCAGCCTTCATCAAAGCATTGATTCAGAATATATAGAGGTTTATTTTTGTTCTTCATCTGTTCAATTTATAACAAGTCACAAAGTGTGACAATGACATTTTACTGATTCTATTAGCTTACTTCCACTTGATTGTTATGTACCATAAATTTTAGCACTAAAATTTGTTAATAGGAGTGCCAGAGGTTGATGTTGCATATAAGATGACCAGCAACCAGTGACAAATCACAAATTTATTTCAAGGGGACGGCAAAGTAATTTTGTAATTCAGAATAATAAAAATTAGAGACATGATGACTTACACCGTATAAATTTGACGATATTTTTTTCACTATGGAAGCAGGAACACATTTTTGCAGGATATCACATATTTGCTGAATTTAACATTACACTCCTTCTTATGCCACCTCCTTATATTTACCCTCTACTACAGTTATTTCTAGATTCAACTGTAAATATCAGTGTATTCCACTTTATTGTGCAACTCAGTCACACCGGGTTTATATTGCATGAATACGAAAGTCCTTCACGTAAAAGATTCGTAGGCAATTTTTCCATTTTTTGCCTCATAAAATGCATTCCTTTTACTTTTCCTACTCACATAACTGTATCTTTATTACTCTTAAATTTTTTTATTATCATTTTAAAATGAAATAATGTAAAATACCCACTGCAGCAGTAACTAAACTCGGTAACCAACTGAAAAGTGTACACCCAGAGGAGTCAACATGGGCGCTGCCATGACACGTTGGTATTGTGGGAACACTAGTTGAATTATTAATATTATAAATTTTATTTCAAATAGATTGTTTATGGATAGTAAAATGTTATTTTTAAGTTATACAGATTATTTTTTTTTCTTTACTCTTTGTATGCACTAAATTATTTTCTAAATCATTTGCACATCGGCTGATATCCGACCTTGACCTAGTGACCTATATTGTCTGGGCGTGAAAGTAAAAGGACCCTTACACTTGACGCGATCTTTTCGGTGGATGTATTAGTTGTCAAAGGATCGAGGCCATCAAATGTTTTTACTGAACAAAAAAGAGACATAACAACTTATAGGTGGGTTAATAAGATTGTAGTTTTGAATATTAATTTAACGAAGTTATTCGTACTCAATAACGGCCATAATTGATTTTAACACCAGCGCTAAATACAACGTTCTGTTTATTGGCAACGGTGCCGGTGGAATAAAAATCAGGTAAAATGAATGATGTCACCCAAAAAATATCCACGATTGGTGTTGAAGTGTCCAGATGGAAAAACTTACTAGCTTAAAACCAGGTACGATGTACGAAGAAATCAATTTTCCTAAATTATATTCGGCTAACCTGAGCGAGACTCGGGTATTGAATTTGAAATCTATAATTAGCCACACACGATGGAGAGTTCATATTTGATAACCTCTGTCACATGTGTCCTGGGTCCATGGTCACAAGTTATCTTACAGTTATACATGTAGTTACACGTAGAACATTTAAGTACTAGTACCTCATTGTACTGTTGGTGTTACATACTGAGTACAGTACTGTACTGTTGACACTATGCAGAATATAATACATGTACCAAAATGCAATGAGCAGAGCTAGGGGTACATGTAGTAGAAAACCTAGTACAAGTTGTGAAACTTAACCAACTCATGGATGATGGTAAAAAAAAAAGTTCTGTGGCAGTTGTGTATTAGTTCTGTCATTTTGCACAGGTTTGTTCATCAACCCCAGTACTTCATTTATTGTATAAAATTTAAGTCTTTAACTTCTGACATGAAAGGCTATTGTTTTAAACTATTTAGTAACTTTCGTGCTTTATAAATTACTTAATTTTAGTTTATGTTTAATTGGCAATTATATATTATACCTGCACCTCCCTGAAGATTACTAGTACTCAAATTTTCACTTGGATATTTGTAGCAGTGCTTCATAGTTCCTTCCATCTTAACATTGGATGAAAGAAATGTTGAGATCACTTTATTATAACAGGACATTATGGTAATACAAGGAGTTCCAACTGATGGAACCCCTTAGGTAAAACCAGTCTACTTTTTGTGTATTAAATACTTAATGGATATTTAAAACATAAGAACCATTTGATGTAAAATAAATAAATAAATAAAATGATTCTAGTTAACTTTTTTTTTCTTTTTGACAGTTCAGGACAATAAGCAATATGCAGTCAGTTCCTGAATTCTACCAAGGCCGTAATGTCTTCATGACAGGGGCCACAGGTTTTATCGGCAAAGTTCTGATAGAAAAGCTGCTGAGATCTTGTCCAGATGTGGGCACCTTGTACATACTGGTGAGACCTAAGAGAGGGCAAGCTGTACAAGACAGGCTTACGGAATTGGTCAAATCAAAGGTGAGATGGAAGTTTAATGCTTTGAATTAAATTATCAGTTCATATGCCCACACGCTTTTTTACAGCCCCCTGATTACAACTACCGATTAAACTTCCACATTTTGATGTGAGATTAATCAAAAAACTTATTTTTCTAGGTTTTTAATAAGCTTCGGAGTGAGCAGCCTAATTTCAGTGACAAGCTATGTGGTATCAGTGGGGACATGATGGAGCCAGAGTTTGGCATCAGTGCTGAGGACCAGCAGTTGCTGATAGATAATGTCAATATTGTTTTTCATTCAGCAGCCACTGTGCGCTTTGATGAGGTGCTCAGGTAAGCATTTTTCTTGGTTAATACACCATTCTGTGAAACTGCAAATGGTTTGATGAGTCTTTTAAGAAACTGAAAGCACTAGTATGCACGTCAACTGAAACTGAAAGCATAGAACCAAAGATGAGGAATATCAAGGAAAGTCTTCCTTATTGTAATTGTTTACACTTTCAGTTGATTCAGTTTGTGTAAAACCAACAAGATGAATGGCTTCCACTAAATATTAATTAGGATTAACTACCACCATCATGTATCATTTTGTAAAAACTCATCCTTTCTTTAACACAAAAAAACAGAACTTTGATAGTTTAGTTATAGTATGTTTTTTTTTTATTATTATTTTCAGGGTTGCCCTAGAGATGAATACAATTGCCATTAAAAAGATGATTACATTATGCAGAAAAATTAAAAACCTAGATGTAAGTTTTGAAAAGCAATTTGCTAGTATACATAGCTTTATATTTAGTGAATGGTTTCTAGGGAGACTATGTTGATATTTCTAAGTGTTTAATAGTCAGTGGAGAATATTGAATGACCAACTCTCACGCCAGAGGAAGCCAAAGGGAAATATCTTTTTTATATATTTTCTTAATCAGATATGCAGTATGCTGGCATTACAAAATGTGTTTTTCTCATGTCATATAATTCTTCCTTACATTTTGAAACACCAAAATGCAACCTTCCCATGCTCTTAACAAATATATACATAACCACTTTTTTTATAAAAGTGCTGCTTTAAAAAAAATCATTCATACTTTGACTGTCCTATATCTCTTTCAGGTTTTTCTTCACGTTTCAACAGCATATGCTAATTGTGATCGCCATTTCATAGAAGAAGTTGTATACCCTCCTCCCTGTGACCCAAATAAACTGATTGAAGCAGCAGAGTAAGTACATGTGGCATGTTTAGACTTTATAGGGCTTTTGGAAATTTTACTTTTTGCATTTGTTGCTGAACTTGAAATGACAGCAATGTCTGTGCAGCAATGTCTGTGGGTCTTACTTTAAGTAACCACTTGTAGCAATGTTTGTGGGTCTCACTTGAAATGTCTGCAAGTTTCACTTGAAATGACCACCTGCAGCTTATCTGACATAATCATAGAATTTATGTATTTGTACAGTAATGGGCCTTACTTATAATTCATTCATCTAGGTGGATGACTGATGAAATGCTGAATAAGATAACTCCCCAGTTGATAGGGGATAAACCCAACACTTACACCTACACCAAACAGTTGGCAGAGCACATACTGGTAACAGAAGCTAAGGACCTTCCCCTGGCCATTGTCAGGCCATCCATTGTGGGAGCTGCATGGAGAGAACCAGTTTCTGTAAGCAGGCTTACTACCGTGTATACAGTTCTTACAACCAATTATAAAACTTTTTCTTTTTATTACCATGAAGCTTTTATTCGTCAAAATCAGTTCATAAGTGTTTGTGTAAAATATACATGAAATCAGTTTGCTTCATGTGCAGGTAAATACAGTAAGTTTATTACTTGCACCTGGGCATTTTGGAGCATTTAAAGAATTACAAAAATAGCTAGATGCCATAGATGGTATCCAGTAGTGAAATGGGACAAGGCTGATGCCTTACGCTATATTTGTTTTTTTTTCCAGGGCTGGATAGATAACTTGAATGGACCTGGTGGCCTTTATGTAGCGGTAAATATTTAACATTAAAGTAATAAGATATTGAAAGGTATCATCCAAGTTGAAGCCTGAACTCAGCAGTTTTCCAGTTTCAAATTAAATACTCCTGACTTGTAATTAAAGTAATAAGATACATTAAAATGACAATCTCATACACTTTAAATGGTTAACTAAAGGAAGCAAGCATCTAATGTAATTTATCTCACATTAAACTTAAAGTATGACTGAACTACAATTTCTGCTAACATTTTGCATCTATTTGTAACAAAACATTCTATAAATATTCTTACAGGCTGGTAAAGGTCTACTGAAAATCTCCAAAGGCGATCCCAATGCTGTTGCTGATATCATCCCGGTGGACCTGTGTGTTAACATGATTATAGCCGCAGCCTGGCACACAGTGGTGCACAAACCAAAGGAGGTCTTAATTTACCACACTACCATTGGCAATGAGAATCCCGTGACGTGGGGTGAAATGGGTTAGTTTATCTACCCTAGGGTAATTTTTTTTATACTTGAGATTATATCCTGTATCCTTGCCTTTTCTTTAGGTATGTTTTTATTATGAATTCAGTGAGATCATACTTGAGACACATATATCTGACTGCCAGGAATTTTTAAAAGTAAAATTACTTCCATTTTCCCAAAGACTTTCAAAGCACCCTTCTTAATGTTTATTTTTTATTTAATTATTTTTGCATAAATGAAGGCATATTTATTGAAATAAACATTTCAGAATTGTTAAATGAATGAAAGTATTTTATGAATTTAGTTTCTCAGCAGTATATATATATATATATATATATATATATATATATATATATATATATATATATATATAATTTCAGAACCACTTGTAATGAAATATTGGAAGTCGTATCCTCTTGACAACTGCTTTCGCAGACCAAAGACTGTCTTAATGACCAAAGATGGGTAGGTCACAGTGTATTTTTAAACAACATAAAAATTAATTCAAAACAATTTTTATGTGCAACTTTATTGTCTGTAAATATTATAACTGCCTCTACCTATCTGTCTGTCCATCTCTCCAAGCCTGCCCCATGGATGTTAGCAGCATTTTACTTATGTTGCCCAAAACATGCTGTACCCCAAAAAAGATGCCCTGTTTTAGTTCAGAATTGTTTTAGCAGTCTTCCTAAATGGATGAAATATAATAAGTTAAAATGGCATATGCATTCCTCCTTTGAAGAAGTAAACTGTTTTTTTTTTTTTTTTAACTTTTCATTGTGATTGACTATCAAATGATATTTCCCATAATGTTGAATTTTGCTAGGAGATTGTGTGTAGATGTCTAATTTGAAAAAAAAAAATCACTTAAATGATGGTGATTTATTTGACAGTATTTTGTATTTTTTATTTGTCTGTCATTATTAGATTAAAATGCTTTCATATTCGTTTGGATAAAGGTATATTTTGGCACTTAAATCTGTTCATTTCTTTAACTTTTCAGCTGGCTCCACAACTACTGGGTGGTGGTCAGCCACTTGATTCCAGCTTACCTGACTGACCTGGGATTGAGATGTATTGGTCAGAAGCCAAGGTAAATTGATATTTATTTATTTATTTATTTATTTATTTATTTATTTATTACAGTCTTTGGCACTAGGTTTGCTGTATATTGTGTAAATATTTAAACAGTGACATTATTATTTAAGTAAAATTCAAGGAAGAATTTTAATTTTACTTTTCTGTTTGCATTTAACATTTAAATGTTGTAAACAGGTTAATTCTTTTTTATTTTGTTACTTTCAAAAGACTCTGGCCCCTGTTTCAAATTCAGTGTGAAATTCCGAATATCAGTGCAATTTTGAAATGACTTGTCCTATTTTTTCCAGGATGGTCCGAATTTTTGAAAAAGTGCACAAAATCATGGGCACACTTGAGTACTTTACACATCGCCAGTGGGAGTGGACACATCATAACAGAGATGTTCTGCTCAGTAAACTAAGTGCAGAAGACAAGAAGGTGTGGAAAACATCTCTCTTTATTTTCATTCGTTATACTTTTTCTTTTCTGGATTTCACACACTCAGGTAGAAGATATACTCTTGAAAGTATTTAAATTTGTAATGAAAGACAGGGGTCCTCAAGCAAATGCCAGACAACTTTAAATCCCCATGCACCAATAACAGAATTTTCTTTATAATCTTTGTGAATAATTGTGTTTATGTTTGGTTTTCTAGACTTTTTACCTAGATCCACGTCCTCTCCACTGGCCCTCTTACATAGAGGGCTACTGTCTGGGTGCTAAGATGTACACTCTTCAGGAAGATCTCTCAGGACTACCAGCAGCCAGAGCGCACATCAGAAAGTGAGCACTAAATATATTACAAACAATTTATATATATATATATATATATATATATATATATATATATTACAAATGATAATAATCAAATAATTTCTAAAAAAAGATTTTAAAAAGACAAAGACAAAAAGAGGTTGGAAAAATTGCCAAATGAAAGAGTACAAGTAGGAAAAACATTATTTCCTTTTATTTGTTATAGCTAGGTATTTATTGTAGTCTTGGGATTACCACTATTATCTGGTATTGTCTGTTGTGATAGTTGCTTAGTATATTTTGTTTTCTTCCATCCAGATTGCGCAACATCCGATATACTTTCAACACGATAGTAGTTGTGATCTTATGGCGACTCCTGGTAGCACGTTCACAAATTGCAAGAAACCTTTGGTTCTTCATCATGGGCCTGGTATTCAAGTTTGTACAGAACTTCCACATTACAAGTACCATACAGCGGTGATAGTTGCTCTTGCAACAATATTGATTCATAATTTGAACAATCATGATGTCTCTCTTACAACTGTTTGGGGACATGATATGTATGAATATAATAATCAGAGGTGATTACTGCATTGAATCCAGCGTTTTTCTCATACATGTCAATCATGTCTTTCCATTCCATATGCATGTATATTTAGTCTACCAGCCTGATTGTTATAGTGTCATATTAAATCTCCCATTTGCAATATGTAAGACAGAGGTTTGGCCTAGTTAGTGCAAGTAGCAAAGAGGCGTAAGTGAAGGTGCAACTANTTTCTCATACATGTCAATCATGTCTTTCCATTCCATATGCATGTATATTTAGTCTACCAGCCTGATTGTTATAGTGTCATATTAAATCTCCCGTTTGCAATATGTAAGACAGAGGTTTGGCCTAGTTAGTGCAAGTAGCAAAGAGGCGTAAGGTGCAACTGATTTGAGATAAAAGTGAAATCAAACTTTTCAATTTATGATGAAGGCATAGGGCAGCTACTTGCTTTCACCCATTTGTGCTTTGCTGTTTATAGAAGTGAGTCAATGTGACACAATGAATCAAAAAGCTAAGAACCATAAAGCTGTGATGGTATGTTCTGTAAATTTGAAATGTTTATTTAAAAAATTCAGTCCCAAGACAATGATGAATGTTGATATTTGAATGCATGCATAATTATCTAGAGAAAAATTTTCTAGTCATATTTAATGATGATAAAGGCAGATTTAAAGCATTAATTTTTAAAAAGCAGCATTTTGTTCTACAGTGCCTCAGCATCCCACTAAAAACACAACTGTAGTTAATAGGGTCCCATATCTTAGACTTTAAAATTAATGTTAAAAAGAAGAGGAGAGGTAAAACTCTATATCATTTTAAACTTTAATTGTTTGACGTCCTTAAAAATGTGGTTGGGAGAAATGGTTTCAGTAAAACTGGCCTGCAAAATAACATTGGCAGAACAATCAATTTACTAAAAATTAAAGATTTTTATATTTTAAGATATATGTATTAAGGGCTACCTTTAGAAGTGTTTAATAGTGGAAATGTTTGTGTTGTGATGCAACTGTTTACAGTGGGTATTGAGTTTTAGTGACTGAAAGAAATGGATATCTTTTACCCATCTATAGAGACATGCTCATGGGATTTGATACAGAAATAACAATATCTCTAAATTTTCTGGAATCTTCCATAATTTTCCATCACATACCAACCATATGTTAAACCTGAAAACCCCAAATACAGAATGAGTTTATTATTCCAAGTGTATGATTATTGTTTCTTGTTTTCCATTAACTGTAAAAACAGGAATGGTCATTTTGTTACTTTACAGGGAAGTAATTACATGCCTCTAAGGTAAAGCACAGGCTATTTGAAAAGTGAAATGGACAGACCCATACAGTAAACCCCATTGGACTGTACCTTTTTATGTAAAAGATTAAAATCTTACATTTTATTGTCTAAAACTAGGGTGAATGGTATTTGCGTGGGTTTAAAAGCTCGGCAAGCTTTGCTGTTTTGCTGTCATTTCTGCTGTGTCAAACTTCCACATTGTCATGTTTACCAAAGGTGATTTTTAAGAATTTTTTCTGTAAATGATTGCATTAATAATCCTCATATTCAAATAAGTATTTCTGTTTGTGTTTTTGTTATGAAGCAGATAAGCTATATATCAATATAGAGTACCTTGTTAACAATGCCAGATGTTACATGACGTATGTTTGAAATATGTTTAAGTTATCTTTTTTGTTCTTGTATATCTGTTTGTAAGCTGTTGATTAAAGATGAAGATTATAATAATAATGGGGGTTTTCTGTATATTATGAAATGTGGGGAAAATGGTAGTGTAAAGTTGAATGATATAAGCCTTATGGAATAAAAGACGTTTTTCATAAAACCATTTATTATTATTATTATTATTATTATTATTATTATTATTCAAAATGTTTGGATTCTAGTTTTTGTCGTATCTGAGATAAAACATCCAAAGACTGGTCAATGGCAACCCGTTCATAGATTGTTAACCCGAATATCTGTAACTTTATTCATGACGTTGACTGGCAATAGGTTCAACATCCCAACGCCACAATTCCAGTGTAATTGTCTTTTTATCTTCTTAATCCATTTTCATTAATAACTATACCGGTTAACTGTAAGTCACAGTGCGAAAAGGTATTATTGAAAGGTCTTTGGGGATCGTACCAAATAAGTATTTTCAAGATTAAGAGGTCTTTCAAGAAGAGGGGAAGGTACTTGGTACGAAATAACTTTGGCAAAAAATCTCAGATACAAAGGCAGGAACATTGGTACAAGTTCAAAGCTCATCTGTTACATTATAATTTTCATTATTGTACTGGATAAGATATAAATGAGCTATTACTTAGAAAGCTCTGTAACAACTACAAAAAATCCTGGCGTGTTGCCATGGCACCGTCGTGTTTGTGACAAACTGAAATTGTTACTGAAGTCGCGGTTGACAATTCAAATATCACGTTGAATTAGGTAACAAATTATTAAGGGTTACGATTATTTATGGGCAACGTGCACGTCCATCCAAATTAAGACATTAGTCAAATTAGGTCGATTATTGCAGTCTTAACCGCGATGGCCGCTGATGGATACATGTATGCACAATTATTTATGCAGCATTCCTATGACCTTGTTGTGCATTTTGCCTCAAGAATTTATGAATGCACACGGCATTTATCCTCCCTCCTCTCAGCCGTATGGTGCACACATAAAAAAGAATAATCATGCATAATGTCACCTATAGAACATGTATGCAGGGACACTACAACCGCTATAAAAGCTTAAAAACTCGTCACAACGTTACATTCAGTGTTTGGTTGCTATTTGCTATTGCTGTAACCGCGCTGCTTCAGCAAACAACATACACGTGGTTGCCGCCCCTGTTCTTTACCATTGAATCCCCCAGAGAGATATGAAATAGTCGTTTTTCTAAAACCATTGACATTCTATTATCTGTTATAAACACAAGTCTCGACTGCTTAGTTGTTCTGATGCATATGACTTTTCCTCCCACTCGAGTGCCATAAAAATTTGTTTTGGAAGCCAACTGCAGTTTTTCAAGGCGCCGCTTACATGTCATCAAAATCTCATTAATAGAGTAATGTTTCACGTTAAGCGTTGTCCAACATTGTCAATATACATGCCAAATTTCCGTTTCTCTCTCTCTCTCTCTCTCTCTCTCTCCTAATCCCTTAATGATATTTCCCCAATGTAAAGCACTGTTTGCAATCAATTTTATACAACCATTAATCATCCATCTTTCTAATTTGTCTAACCTTTAGCATTCACTTGCACGGGCATGACAAAGATACATGTATAATACAACGGACTGTCGCAACAAGGTCATATACTTGAATAGCTGATGCACTACTCGTATGATCGTATATTGCAGTCGTCCCTTGGTTAACATTGATGTATTGCTGTTACAATACTTCATCATAATCTGACAAACCTCATGTTGGTGCCATCATGCGAGTCTGCGCTGTGCATTAAGGGCACACAAAATAACGAATTGCAGGAAATGCTTCCATCGATGAAGTGCTTCAATAGGATCCTGGGTTTAACTGTCAGACATATAGTCAACTTCACAACATGTTGTTTAAAAATACACCCCATCCGGAATTCGATTGAATGCTCGAAAGGATATGGATACATATTTGAAGCATACACAGGTTCTGTCAAAATTACATTTCACCGTCTTCTCAACGTACGGTACATACAACTACAGATTTCGATTTAAAATTTAGTAAGCCATCAGCCAAGTCATTTTTTTTTTAATATACTAGGTTTTATTTCTATTTTTAATGAATATTAAATTGCATGCAAAGGCTTGATTCTTCTTTTGCTAATTATAATAATAATGATAACAATTATTGATTCTGGTACGTTCTTTTACAATTACAATTTAACAAAATGACATCACAATTTAACATGCAATAATGAGGTACTACTGTTTATATGTATTACGTGAGGAATGTAAAATACACCAAACAAAAAGTACATATTTAAACATTTTTAATTATCTATGAAAATCATTAAGAATCATGGATTGTGCAAATAAATCTCAACACAGATGTATTCAAGGTGAACTGACCGTCAATTTAATTAACATTCGTCTAAGTAATTGCTGTGTAACTTCCCTACATCTCATTGATTCCTCTGGAGTGTGTCTAAACAGTCGGACACTTTGATGAAAGGGGCTATATCACAAGAACATTCTTTGTTAAAGGGATAATAACTCTTCGTATGAGATTATATTTCACAATAAAAACATTGTAAACAACTCATAGAAATATAATATATTCTGTTTTATCACAATAACTGCTGTTATAGCTATTATTCTGATATCTGAGCTTGTCATCAGACCACGTGACCTCCATAGATGGCTTTACTCTGTAATAATCTCTTAAGATATTATAACATAAAACCAAACTTTTTAGAAAAAAACCAGGGACCAACTTTGAATGAAGAAATCGATTTGTTAACCATTGGTAAGTATGGGAAAATTGTGGTTTACTCCGGGAAAATTCATTTTTTGGCCAAAACGAACAGTTATTATCCCTTTACATGTTTAAGCGGCTCTGCTATGGGGATCTGTGAAAGTTTTAAATGCGAACTTACAACACATCATGGAATGGTCGTTTGATACGTGACCTGCGTGCTATCCATGTTGGCTAATGTTTGCAATATGGCGGTATTTATCATTCTTAAAACAGAAAACAATATTTTTTCCTGTCGAAAAAGTTGGAAAATGATAACCAAGGCTGACAAATACCCATGGAAAAAATAATCTTAAAGGACGGTAACTCAAATATGACGATCTGACAGTCAGATGTGTATTAGATTTTCTTTTAGGAAACCAGTTTAGATTTACTGGTTAGGCATGAGTGCATCTTAGCTCATATATCATTCGTCTAAATAGGCATTGAATAAACAGAGGAACCTATATGTTTGGTTTATGTAAGACTGGCTTTTGGGCTTTCTCCAAACTCTTTAATACATTATTTACAAATTAGGTAAATGGCTGAGTAGCCATCTGCGATATTGGCTCAGATTTGTAGAAGTCATAATGGCAGTATCTAAGACTTGAAGCTTTTCTTCGTTAACCTTATTTAAAAAAAATCTTTAATTTGTATACAAGTAAAAGCATTTAAGCTACCCTAGATAGTCTTGGAGCGATCATCCCCGGATCGTGTGATTGTCAGAATTCTTGCTGTTCTTCTTATAAAAAAAATATGCATAC